CTATGGCGCTCCTCAGTGGTGTGTCAATGGAAGACATTTGTCAGGCTGCTTCATGGGCTTCACCCTGTTCCTTTACTCGTTATTATTTACGAGATGTGTCTTCAGGTTCCATCACTCGTTCAGTGCTTGGACCCCAGCAGGCTAAATGAATGCTTATGGCACCTCATTGGCCTTGCTGAGATGGATTTCATCCTCTTGTGGATTATGTTTTTTAGTGGGGGCCCCTCTTTTATTGTGGCTGCCTCAGTCTTTAAGCCTGGTCTGAGGCTGAACGTCCCCCACTAGAGGAGATTTGATTGGGTGTGTCCATTGGTTGTGTTAACCAGTGGGGCGTAAACCCATCCAGCTGCGCTTTATTCCAATAGCAGCTAGCTTAAGGGCTAAGACTAGACGAAATAGAACGTTGGTTACATATTGTAACCCCATATTCTATGAGTCTAGTCGCAGCCCTTAAGCCACTGGCCCCACTGGTTATGATGGGAATAAGAGCCATTGGAGGTGAGCAGTGGGGTCACTGCGGTTATATACCACGAGGGGGCCCACTATTGGTGGGCGTACATTTTAGCTCTTCATGATTGGCTAATGCGGAGATCATCCTTCCAATAGCTGCTAGCTTAAGGGCTGCGACTAGACTCATAGAATCTGGGGTTACAATACATAACCAACGTTTCTCAGCTGCATTTTAGTCACATGCCGCCCTCACCACGCCCACTTACTGCCATAAATAGTTAATGCAAAGTGCCTTGTGGATCTCATGCATATACATAAGCCGGCTGTTGCAGCGCTCCGCCAATGACATGGCGACCATAGATCAAGGCAGATCAAGGAATTGCAATTTCACAGAAGCAGAAATTGAGGTACTTGTGGGTGAGGTGGAGAAATGAAAGGAAGTACTTTTGCAAAACAAATAAGAGAAAATCCACGGAGTGGCACAGTGTTGCTGAAGCCGTCAACGTTGTGAATTCTTCAGAGAGATATGTGGCGTATATAAAAAAAATGGTCCAGCCGGGATTCAATCCCCAGACTCCCGGGTGAAAGTCACACGCGTTAACCAGTCAGCCAAACAAAGATCTCCCCGTACAAGTAGCCAGGGCGCATGATCAATCGGGTCACAGTGACAGCACGACATTCTGTCTCAATCTGTCCCCCTGCTGATATTCTGCATTCCATATTCTGCTCTTCAGGCTGTGTGTGCGTGCATGTGTGTGTACGCGTGCGTGCGTGTGGGGGGGTCTTGTTCTGTGTGAAAACGAAGCAGTACAAGTGATAATGCAGCAGGATTTCGTAATTTTATCCTCAGCAGCAGCACTGCAGGTGCTTTCCATGTCCAAAATGTGCGTAAGCCAGGTCCTTAGTCTACTTAAAGTTGAGCACATTTTTCCACTAAGTTTTCTTTCATAAATCCCAAAGTTTGCGTGGAAAGTTGTTTACGCAGTTTTGTGTGTAAGCAATCTTGATAAATGAGACCCCAGGTGACTGCAGGAAGCTGGAATGCTTGTTTTGCATCTAAGACTGTTCGGTGGTTCTTAAAAGAGCCACTGTATCTGATATCACTCGCAAGCGTTGCAGAGAGGCTTTGACCATGAGGTCAGAAGATGGGATGGTCTCAAAATGCTTGCTCACCCGGTAGGCCTGGTCGGGAGGCAGCTGAAGACTCCTGTATATATCAACTTTGTTTATAAATTTGGCAAATCAGGATTTGACACGTTTGAAGGCATTACCAAAATACCTCAGAAGTCACTCCTTCTCGCAGATACGTACAAAGAGGGATTAACCCTTCGTGTGAAGTGAAAATGTTTTTAAACATTTATGTGAAGTGAATGTTATGTTAAAACCTTAATTTTAATCTTATGATGATACTGATAGATTAACTTATTAAATCAACAAATGCTGATCTGGTGTAGTTTAAGATCTGAAATGAATCATTGCAGGAAATATCCTTGATTAAATGCACAGATTACTCAAACGTTTTAGGATTTAAACATCTTGACCATTCAACACATTTGATTGTTTCAACCTATAGCTTAAAGTCATATATGATTCAAGGAAGATGAACTTTATTCAGAGTGCAAGTGCAGGAGTCTCTGCTTGAGCCCTTGAGCAAAGGTATTATGGCGTCCTTGGTCAGTTGCACATTGCATATGCCTGTTTCTTTCTTGGAGGCCAGACAGATGTAATGCGTCCCTGGATGTGTGACACAGTTTGTGGCTGCAAATTAAAAGTTAATTTCTGTTCATTTTAATGAAAAACTTGACTATTGGTACACTACAACATCAAAGAGACGGATAAATCAAATTATAACTAAGGAGCCAAACTTCTAAAGAGATCCAAGGTGACCTTCAATCTCAAGGAACATCAGTGTTGGATCGCAGCACCCGTCACTGTTTGACCCAAAGTTGACTATGGGAGATGACCAAGGAGGACATCATTGTTGAAAACTAATCATAAAAAAGTCAGACTGGAATATGCTGAACTACATGTTGACAAGCCACAAAGCTTCTGGGAGAATTTAGACAGATGAGACAACAATAGAACTTTTTACCAAGGCACATCGGCTTTATGTTTACAGACAGAGAAATTAAGCATATCAAGAAATTGCCTCTATTGTGAAACATGGTGGAGGCTATTATGTTCTGGGGCTGCTTTGCTGCATCTGGCACAGTATGTCTTAAATCTGGGCAGGGTACAATGAAATATCAAGACTATCGAGGGTTTCTAGAGAGAAATCTGCTGGCCAGTGTCAGAAAGCTTGGTCTCAGTCGCAGGTCATGGGTCTTGCAACAGGACAATGATCCGAAACACACAGCTGAACACACCCAAGAGTGGGTAGAAGACATTGGACTATTCTAAGGTGACTTTCTATGAGCCCTGACCTCAATCCTATTGGGCATCTTTGGAAGGAGCTGAAACATGTTGTCTGGAAAAGGCGTCCTTCAAACCTGAGACAACTGGAGCAGTTTGCTCATGAGAAATGGAACAAAATGCCTGCTGAGAGGTGCATAAGTATCATTGACAGCAACAGGAATCATTTGACTGCCTTAAAAGTTTGTGAAACACAATATTAACTTAGGAGTACCCTCATTTTTGTCCAGATCTGTTCTATTAGTTGATTTTTTTTAAATAATTCAGTTGAAGCATGGTTGAAAAGCAATGTCTGACTTTCATTGGTTAAATTTCATAGAAATTTTTTCATCTATTTTTGTAAGTTTCAAGTTATTTTTGTGACCATTGTGGGTATTTCTATAATTGACCGAAGGGTTCCAAGAACTTTTTTTCCATGTCTGTATATTAGACAGACTAATTACTTGCAAAGCCAGATATTTAAAGCCTTTCATTGTTAAAATTGTGATGACTACGGCTTACAGTTTATGAAATCCCAAGTAAATTCAAAACCTCAAACTAGGGCTGGACAATAAATAAAAAATGTATCGTTATCAAAATTGCTGACTCTTTATCAAGAATTTTTCACATTTCAATAAATTTGATAGTAAAAAATGAAAAGATGTGTTCAGATTGGCAACATTCATGTCCCTTTAAGAAGCGGTACCACAATGAGTCACGTAAAAATGTGACTCAAGGTGGACAGCTCTACCTAGTGGACAACTTGATTCTGGCATATCTGTAGTTATCATCCATTTTAGGGGCTGCATGACTTAATTTTTTTTTAAGTCGACCATCAAGTAATGAAAATCGAGTTGACTTCGACTAGTTGTTGATGACGTCATACACCTGAAGCGGCTAACACTGATGATGGGTGACCAAGCGTCTGGAGCGCATCAACGATCAGAGCTTTGCATGCGCAAGCTGGTTATGGTTAGGATGGGGGCAAGGGGAAGGTTAAATTGCAAGAGGGGAAAGGTCACAATTCGGTCAAATGTCCGTTTTACGGTGGGCGTCAGATACCGATACTGCATCTTGTCGGTCATTATCAAGTGACAGCGACTAGTCGTTAAAAGGTATAAAAAGTCACTACAGAGCAGTGAAGTCGAATAGTTGATACAACCCCTAGTCCATTTATCATTATGGAGGCGAAATCCTCTATATATCGTGATATTTATTTTAAGCCACATTGCCCAGCTCTACTCAAGCTATTAGATTATTGTAAAAATGTTCAATATTCTAGTCTCACTCTAATCAGCTAATGAATCTTGTCATGGAAAAAATTATGATTATTAATTCTTGATCATGGACTAAATCAACTGAAAGTAAATGTATTGTTCTATGCTTCCCTGCATGCTCACTTACTCAGACACACACACATTCTGGTCTTACTCATTCACACACCGACTCTCTCACACGTTGACCTCACTCCCATTCTTATCTTACTGTTTAAATAAAGTCTGTGAACAGATGTTCGGGGCATTTGCCTCAGGCATCTTGCCAGAGTTATAACTGACGTGTTGTTCATTGTCTCCTCTCTTCACTACAGGAAATGGGTTATTGATAAACATATTGATAAAATCCATGACAAATCTAAACACCTCCAAAGCGTTCATTAGCCTTTAGATGGTTTCTCAGTCTAAACTTTATTTCTGACAAAAATTGAAATTGGCACCATAGTCTTTTTTTTCTCCCCCAAGTTTCATTTGTTGATCAACACAAGCATGTGTACAGTGGCACAAGGCCAGAATATTTTTTAGAAAAAGCTACACTGGATGTGTAAAATGAGTGAAAACAGACTGGAAAACAAATATAAAGTTCTCGATTAGTTTAAAATATATTCTTCTTAGACCGGAGACTTTTGGCGGTTGTTTTTGTTATAATCATCCTGTTTTACTATTTGTTCTCCACTTGATGGCGCAGGAGAGCAAACAATCAAAGCTTCATGAAGCTTTGGCTTGTGTGGAATCTCAGCAGCACTTCTACATTTATGTATTTCACAAAACCCATACATTGTAATACACATTAAATATTAAAATGTTCAGCACAGAAGCAACAGAGGCCAGTGTTATAAAATAAACAGAAGGCACTGACAATTAGCTACTCAAGTGCGCATGTGCAAAACCCGTTTATTGATAAAATGAGGTCACGAACTCTGACCCTCCCTCAAACCGTAGCAAATACCTAAAATATTAATTTATTAAACTAAAGCAACACGCTTATGGCATTCCAGATTTCTAAAAATATTAGAAATTTTATCTGCCATGTGCAAATGAAAGGTTGTTGAAAGAGAAACGAATTAGCAGTAAAACAGGAAGGAAGACAGTGGGTCTGCGGATAGGAGCTGCTACCGAGTAGCAAACACAGCTAACTTAGCACCGTAGCAGTACGGTCTTGGATCTTTGTATTATTGCGCATGGTAAGTACACATTTTAAAACGTGCATGCATTGACATGATTTTCTTTCTTACCATATTCACTCTTTGGTTTGTGTACGGTTGTTCAGAAAACATTAGGATAATAATATTGTTAGCAGAAAGGCTAGTTAGCCAAACATAGTAGCCGCTTATGTGGCTGCTGTGCTAGCGTTGCTAATTCGATTTTTTTAAATAAATCACTACGTTTTTAATGAATGTGATAACAGCGAGATGTATTGTTAAATCTTTATTGGCACTGGTGATATGCCAGTCGCAGTGACGAGTCCAGTTAAAGATATAAAACGTTTTCGGGTAATTCCCATAAACGACGTCTCTCCGTTGATTCTTCGGTATTACGGGCCTTCAACCTTAACGTGCTTTAACCCTTCAATGTTGACCTTTCACCGACAGGAAAAGAAATATCTTTATCTTCCGTATAGATTTTAACCAGCCGGCTGTTAGCATCGTGTTTATGTTAATTTTGTGTTTTTGTTGCTTATTATTTGTTGTCACCGTACAGCACAATTAAGCTGCATTTTGTTACCAGCTAACGTTCGCTTGATCGCTTTTAGGCCACAAACATTTATTTGACACAGCGGTAATAAACTTGCTTGACAGCTGATTAATGCGACCAGGTCGTTTCATGAATTATGAATCAGATTGCCTTTTTAAATGGAGTACGCAAGAACTGTTCAGTAAAAGACAAACACTAGTACATAAACAAAAAACAAACTAATATCCTCACAAAATGTTAGATCCACTTATTTGTAAAGTGGTCAATTAAAAAGGATGTTTTGAGTGAGTTGGCTCTAAAATAAAAGTATTTACTTTGAAAGTAATCCTTTTAAACGTACCCATGCTAATGTGAATTTGCTGACACCTGCAGTTACAAAAAGCTGTTAAAACTAATCGGATTTAGTTGGGGTGATATAAACATAATGAGACTAGAGTACTCTATATGCCTTAATTTGATTATTGCTTACTGAGTGTCAACTTGTTCAGGTCAAAGTAATCAGAAAAGGCCTTTCAGTTTTGAAAAGCTTAACCAGATTACGGTCAAGCAATTAAAAACACAACTTTGTGAAAAGTTTTAATTTTAGTCATTTTAAAGCACATTGCTCATTAGAGGTGCTGAAAAAAATCGATTCAAGTCTGAATCTGGATTCTAATTTATAAAGATTCAGAATCGATTCCAGGAACTCAAATGTTTGTCATGTTACAGGTTTGAGATGCACTTTTGTATGTTTTTTTTTTTTTTTTTTTTTTTGGTCTTTGTTAGGAGAGTTAGTACTCCGTTTACTTTTGTGGTCCCATAAATTGGGATGATTTATTTTTTAATCTGCTGATAAGTGGGGAATAAACAGGTTTAGGACTCAAATGTTAAACTTGTTTCCACAGACACTTAAAAATTATTTGACTGTATTACTTTCAAAGCTACTGTTAGGTAACTAAAGGTTTGTTATATTTTACAAGGTAAGCAAAAATAAATGTTGCCTTTTGGTCAAAAGATTGTTTCTGTTTACAGTTTTAGAATCACTTTAGTTTACCTTGTAAATTAGCTTTTTTTAGCATGACCAGTTTAAAGTAAAATAAATAATTTCCCATAGCTTTAACTAACTTGCACGACAAAGTAGTTAATCCTGGAACTGACACTCTTTGTTAATATTGATTGTGAATCGATTTAAATCGAGAATCGATTCTGAATCTAATCGGCACCCCGAGAATCGGAATCGAATCAAATCGTGAGTTGCTCTGAGATCACATCCCTGTTGCTCATGTTTTCTTTATTGTATGAGTAGCTGCATTAAAATAATCCCCAGATTGTAAAATAATGAGTATCTGGTCTCAAGCGTAACCAAAAACGTTTGAATCTTGTGCAAAAGTTCATTTATTTCAGTAATTCTACTTAAAAGGTGAAACTAATACATGAGAGAGACTCATTCAATGTAAAGCCAGATATTTCAAACCTTTATTTGTTATAGTTGTAATGATTATGACTTAAAATTTATGAAAGCCCCACATTCAAAATCTCAGACAATTAGAATATTGTGAAAAGGTTCAATATTCTAGACTCAATGTGTCACACTAATCAGCTAATGAATCCAGAACCTGCAAAGGTTTCCTGAGCCTTTAGATGGTCTCTTGGTCTAAGTTCAATTACTGACATAAATGGATTTTAGCACCATATTCTAATTTTTGAAGTTTTCCCAGCATACACCTGTTCTGCTCCACTGGTGTGGACACCTCATGGGACACTGATGTGAAGGCGTGTGCAGTATTAGAATGGATGGACAGTCTCAAAGGATTCAGCTCATTTCTACAGACAACAGCATGGCTTTAGGACATCGAATCCAGGTAAGGATTTCATTGTAGGAACCTCACATTTATTAACCCCTACCCCAGAGTTTGCATAAAACTAAACTATTGTAACGTCTGCTTTAAACGTTTTACGTAACAGATTGTAACAGATCAGCAAAGTGGACAGAAGATCCAGATCGTCACTGCACTCGAGCCGTCCTCTCCTGGAAAGCAGCAGTTTATTTTAGCAAATGCCGACTATTCGCCAGGTGGAAAGGTGATTCTGGCCAAGCAGGAAGGCTCGCCAAACAAAGTGATCCTTACTGCTTCAGACGGGTCTGGGGTCAACCAGCTGCTGTTCACCACTCCTGAACTGGCTGGACAACAGATTCAGGTCTGCCTGAAGATGTTGGTGACCTTCGTCTGTGTTTGGATTAAAAACGAGAGAGGGGGGGGGATTTTTTAAAGCTCCTGAGAGATTTTACGTAAACATTTTTACTGATTAAATAATATTCTAATTTTCTATTTTGTGTTACTTTTCAGTTTGTGACTGAAGGCTCAGATCAGTCTATTGTCAAGCCCATTGTGGAGTATTGTGTTGTCTGTGGGGATAAAGCCTCAGGTGGGAATTACACTTAAAAATGAAGTCTTTCTTTTTGTAAATAAAACACTAAACACAATTCTCTTCTCTTTTTTTTCCTCCTAGGGCGTCATTATGGAGCCGTCAGCTGTGAGGGATGTAAGGGCTTTTTCAAACGCAGCATAAGGAAGAACCTAGTGTACACGTGCCGAGGCTCAGGGGACTGCGCCATTAACAAGCTACACCGAAACCGCTGCCAGTACTGTCGGCTGCAGCGCTGCATCGCCCTGGGCATGAAACAGGACTGTAAGGGACTATAAAGCTGGGTCTATACTTCTGTTAGCACAAAGGTTAACATGAATAAAGTCAGTTGTTTATTTTTTTTGTGTTCCAGCGGTGCAGTGTGAACGAAAGCCTGTTGAAGTTTCCACTAGAGAAAGGTCAGCGAATTGCGCCGCCTCCACAGAAAAAATCTACATCCGCAAGAACCTCTGTAGCCCCCTGGCTGCTATGCCAACTTTTGTATCCGAAAAGGAAACTGCCCGGTAGATAAAACTCAACAAAACACAACAGCTCACTTTTATAACAGTCTGAACAAATCTTTACATTTTTTATATTTAATGATAAATAAAGTTCCACAGACAAAGAAATCATAACATTTGTTGTAATTGTATTTAAACCTAAAAGCCACCCCATTCAGTCAGCGGTGATTCTTCTGTGAGGTTAAATAAAATCACGCCTATGTCTTTAGGTCTACGAGTTTGCTGGAGTCGAGCATGCTGCTCAACATTCAGCAGCCCTTCTCCAAGCTGGAAAACACCATCCTGATTCCTGCCTCCCCTGAAAAAGTAACACAACTACGGAGTTATATTTCGGTCATGTAGAGTGCTGAGTCGTGTTTGGACCAGTTTGGTAGTAACTGTCCCCTCTTCTGCAGGATGACCCGTCTCAAGGGGACCTTGGTACTTTGGCAAATGTAGTTTCGTCCCTCGCCCACCTGAACAAAACCAGGGAGCCGAGTGACAGCGAGAATGACCTGATGGGAGTTGAAACGCTTAGCAACGGGGACAGCTCCATGACAGACATCCAAGCCGATGAGCAAACCGCGAGTGAAATCACCAGGTTAGAGTTGATTTAAGGAATCGGGGATTAGATCTCAACCATTTTTTTCTTCCATAACTAGGTACATGCGCTTGATGTTTCCAGAATACCCAGGGCTGTTTTTTCATTTTTGTCATGAAGCTTTAATAGAATTACTTCCATGGCCATGTGGTTTCTGACTCCAGCCTGGTGGACATAATTGGATTCATACATGTTCAATAAAAACACACAGTTGTCCATGTCAGGGTTGTATTGTAGTGCTTCGACTTCAATCTGTTTGATTCCTTATCTTGAGCATTGTCGTTTGTTCAGAGCTTTTGACACGCTCGCCAAAGTCTTACACAACAACGACGGCTCAGAGGGAGAGTGCCTGGAGACGACCATGCAGCTGATGTCGGGGGAGCAGTCGGGTCCCGTGGTAGAGCTGGAGGGGCCTTTGCTCTCTGACATCCATATCCCTTTTAAGGTCAAATCAGAACCACTGATCCGTATTGCTCCCTCTAAACCCAAACATCTTATGTTTTTCTGTATTTATGATTATTAAATTAATTTCTCCACAGCTTATGATGCCTTTGCCTGTGCCAGAGTACCTCAATGTCAACTACATCTGTGAGTCAGCGTCCCGGCTACTTTTCCTCTCGATGCACTGGGCGCGCTCCATACCTGCCTTTCAAACCCTAAGGTGACGCTTCTCTTCTTTGTTTTGTTTACCTTGTAACCGATTGCTATTCAATTAGAGTCGTTTTTGTCAAATGTATCCATGTTCATGACTTTATTTTTTTTTCCTTTTCAGTGGTCAGGACAATGACATTAACTTGATGAAAGCCTGTTGGAATGAACTTTTCGCTCTGGGTCTGGCACAGTGTTCCAGTGTTATGAATGTTAATACCATCCTAAGTGCTATTATCAACCATCTGCAGACCAGCTTACAGGAAGGTATGAGGGCTCTGCCTGTTTCTTGTCAAAGCTGCTCTCGTCTGTCCTCAAAACTTGTCCTTTTTTGTTTTTGTAGAAAAATTGTCCCCAGACAGAGGGAAACTAGTGATGGAGCACATCTGGAGGATGCAGGAGTTCTGTAACAGCATGTCCAAGCTATCTCCAGACCCTTATGAATACGCCTACCTCAAAGCCATCGTACTCTTTACTCCTGGTATGTGGTGTTTATTTTATTGTGTTGATTGTGTGTACACGTTTCTTACCTTGCATTATTTTGTGCTAGATCACCCAGGCATAGAAAGCATACCGCAGATAGAAAGGTTTCAGGAAAAAGCCTACATGGAGCTGCAGGACTACGTTACAAGGACGTACCCAGAAGACTCTTATCGGTTTGTAGGCTTTTACCTTTTACACTTTTCCGTAGAGCCGGGGGAGCAGTGGTACATCAGCAGATGTACTTTACAGAGTCGGCCAGATTGGTGATGGTATCACAGATGTTCTTGCTACATGTTTGAATCCCGTATCTCCTTTTTGCCTCATTACTTCCAGGTTATCCAAGCTGTTGCTGCGTCTTCCGGCCCTCAGGCTAATAAACGCAGCTGTCACAGAGGAGCTGTTCTTTGCTGGGCTCATTGGCAACGTGCAGATTGACAGCATCATCCCTTACATCCTCAAAATGGAATCCACCGACTACAACAGCCAAGCCGTGTCTGGCGTCTGACGAAGTGTGCCATTTGTCATAGCGATATTGGATTGGGAAAACTTGGCAAATAACAATTCCGAGAAGTCATCAGACCAGTTACTGAGTGGTTATAGCATAGTATTCTTATGACTTGGCACTTCTGAAAATCATTCTAAACTTCTAACTTCTCAGTAACCATTAAGAGGAGCTCAGCTCACACGAAGGACAGATAAGAAATGCTCTTGAGGAAGTGAGCCTTCCAACCTTTGTTCAATCAGGAATCAACCCTTAAATCCAAAGCAGATTTAGCTTCTTATTGAATTGTATTTTACGCTGCATAGCCTACTTTTTTCTGACGATCTCATTTGTACTTTGAATGAAACAGCATGACTTTTTTTACAGCTTCTCCCACGTAGCCTGGCTTTTAGTTTGAGTATCATAAGGCATGAAAAAATTGTAAATTCATATGTGAGATATTATCATTTAAAGGTCATCACCTTTTATACTAATTTGTCAAACGGATTGGCTACATTACTCGTTAACTATTGGGCTTCATGTCAATCTGATTTAATTGTATATACATTTGTATATAGAAAGCAATGAGAAAACTAACGGGCAACATTTTGTCATTTGTGTATTGTATCATCCTTTTGGACACTTATCTGTATAAGAAATATGTTCATGCCATTGGAAAATAAAAACATCTTTTCATAGTTCTTCTAGTAATTTGACTGTATTAACCCTCTTGATGCATGAATTATGAAATTTTAGACCGTGATTTTTTAAACAATTTTTTTCATTCATCTTTAGGTGTGAATGAAACAAATTTCAACAAATATTTTTTGTACCATTTTGTTAATTTACAAATACTTTATAACATGTCCATCTCAGTGGACAGCGTGCATTCTGAACATGAAATATGGTGGCTTGACTTACTGAAGTCCAAATGGAGGGGCTCACATGCAATAAAGTCTTTAACAGCTGTGCTTAATAGCAAAAATAAAGAAATAACAATTTTGAGTACCTGTCCACTGTAGTGACCATTATGCATCAAAGGGTTAAAATGTTGGATCATGGCTTTCCCCACAAACCTTTCACTGTTTGTGTGTTGCTGCTGGTGGAAGTCTGTTGTATGTCTGTTTTTAAGTGGTGAGAAGCAATCTTTCCCACCTCCTCCCTCACAACTCGTCTTTCTAAGAACCAATTACCTGACTTATAAGGACCGTTCCATAGAAAACAGGCTGAAGCTTTTTTGTGTGTGCTTGTAGCAATATACTTTACACAGTTTGAGGCTCATAACACACTTCTCAGAATCTGACCTGACAGCAGATTGTTTACATGCTCTGCCAGTATTAATAATTCAAAATCTGTATTACCCCAGAGAGTTATTGTTGGGGTGTCGTGTCAAGTGACATGAAGGTGGAAGTTGTTCCCGGGTGCTGTACACCAGACTAAACCTGTTATTAGCTAGTGAATTTTTAATTGGGGCTCAGAATGGGACGGCGTGTCTTAAGTTTCTGTTGCTTTAGTTTCCCAGTAAACTTCCAACTAATTAAAGACTGATAGTGTTAAAATGAGATGAAGGGATGAATGATGTAGCCTGCTGCTGTTTTTAAGTCTTTTGTGAAGCGTTTCCTATCGCTAACACTTTATTGACGTTTGAACAGAAATATGTCCACACTGGCTGAGAAGAGTATACATTTAGATAGAAATTCGTGTGGGAAAATGAAAACTGCTGGGTATATGTACATATTTATGCACATTAGCAGTAGCATAGCTTTTAGCTGCCAATGTAAGCTGATTTTATGATTCTGAATTCTATTCAAGCAATTTGTAAGGGGTATTCACTGTAAAGGTCAGTTTAGTTACCTGAAGATGCTCCGTAAACATGTGAGGAACGATGGTGCAGCTGTCTCGCACAGATACGCATGCGCATTGACAGCCTCTCCTTTTTCAGCTGAGAAAAGTGGGCGGAGTTTGCTCTCACACTCGGTTGTTTTGCGCGTGAAGAAGAGCCAGCGTGAGTGAGGGAGAGAGGTGGACAGACGAATCCGGGCTGACTGGGAAGAGGTTCTGACACCGTAGTGGGGTTCCGGTAGCCTCCTACAGGCTCCAGATGGGAGGTTATTATGCCCGGCATAAGCGTGTCCCTGCGAACTTTGTCTGAAGCGGAGAAGCATCTCAGCAGGCCGGATGGTGAGTGGAGCTTTTAGAGTACATTCTATTGTTAAGCTGTCCAAAACTCAAGACTGGATCAGGGGGTCTCAGTGGGCACTGTACCGTTGTCCTAAGAGTTTCACGAACGCTTCGTGGCGTTAAACATCTAAATTTCTTCCAACAAACATCGCAAGTGTCCGGGTATAACTTCATTTGGACGCATATAACATCTCCTGTAATAAGGTGTAATAAATAAGTTTAAACTACATTAGACGATGTGCTGAAGACGCAGCCATCGTAATAAGTGTTCATACACGATTAATTAAGCTATTATGGATTAATACTTAGCATGTTTATATTTTTATTATAGCGTTAGACACAGCTAGCCATGCAGTTAGCTTAAAGTTGTTAAGCAAACATAATCTCAAAACACGTGCTACATAGTAACGATGTCATTTAGTTTGTGTTTAGGTTTTGGTGTGAAAGGTTTAGGAATCACTTCAGATTAAGACTTCTTAGCCATCAATAATCTGATCAAATCCATTTTAACAAATAACCCTAACCCATGTAAACAATCTCCACCATAATGTAAAGAAAAACATCTGAGTAACATTTCATAAAGGTGTTTGATTGTTCAGTGGCTGGCCCAGTTAAGGGGTAGGAGGGAAAACAGTAATAATGTGCTTTTGTGCAGTCATTACTCTCCAGACTGTGTCTAATTCACTGAAACGAGGAAGATGAATGTAAAATATCCCATTTCTAAAGTTTGTTATCTTATTAGAGTGTGTTTTGGTCACATGTAATAAATCTTATACATTTTTTAAACTATTGCAGCCTAAGGGTTACGAAACATCAACTGATAAATTTATCATGAGTAAAATGTGCCTATAACGCAGGTTGGTTTTCAGCAGCAGTGACACCATGGGGTAAGAATGCTTGATGGTTGAGCAACCAGAAAGTCTTCTAACTAAACCTCCAACATGAGCTCAGTCACCTTTTGTCCCTACAAGTGATGCCTGACCAGATGTTAGATCACATCAGCATTAATTCATACAAGCTGGTAAAGCTGAGATAGAGCCTCAGACATTCAGACCAGCCTGCAGTGTTAAATAACCCCTAAATCTTTTTACCCGTGGCTGTGTAGTTTTGTGCTTTTCCTCATTCTGTTGGCCGAGAATGACATTCCAGATTTGTTCCTCAACGGGCCTTTGTGCGGCAGATATAGTAGGCTAGAGGTCAGAGCTGATGTAACATTTGTGTTTTCATGACTTGGTTCCTGAAATTCTTGTTAACTCTTACCATCTGCGGACATAAAACCTGTTTTACCACAATGAACTTTTTTTTAAAGCAGGGGCTTTGTAACGTTGATAAAATCAAACAAAAGGACAGACATCACGCATCACTCCAGCACTCTCTAATGATGCTGAGCTGTTTAATGGATGCTTTTTTTCGCTGTTAGTCCTTTACCTTTCATGTCTAATGAGCTGCTTTATCTCTCACCAGCTCGGACGCATAATTGATTCTATTATTCTTCTCATTTTGAATCATTACATTGACTACACCTGCATATTTACCGTAATTGAATCCCACTCAATTCTCTGAGCACTGGTAGTTTTAATGGGTTATTGATTTAGTTCTGGGCCAGTTTGTGCATGAGGTAACCGTGAATAAGCCTTCAGCCATTCACTCCCCTGATCTCATAGGGATTATTCATTCAGGAAACTGAAGACCTCAAACCCTCCTTCTGCTCTTTTTCCTGCTTTTATTCGAGTGAGGCGGATTGTTTGGCCTCCAAGGGAAGAAAGAATTCAGTTTGACTACATGAGCAGCTGGAATGTAGAGTGGAGGAAGAAGAGGTGGTGTTGGGTCAGCTCTGAAAATGAAAGATGTGCTCCTTGTTTTTCCCCCTCATCTCCCCATGTGAGCCCTGACTGGGAGAGGATCCATGAGGATCAGTTTGGGAATACCAATCAGCTCTGCAGGCTTCTCCCCCCTCTGTGGCTCTGCTCTCTGCTGAAGGGAGTTTTGTCCCATCTCTTTGAGCAATGCCAGTTCTGTTGAGGATCTGTGTTCATGTGCAGCACACCAAGGCCTCGTTGTCTGTGTCAGTTTTCTTTAGACCACTGCAAACACCTGTGCTTGTATTTGCATGTCTGCAACCCCCCCCCCCCCACACACACACACACACACACACACCTCGTGGTGTCAACAGCCTACATCAGCAATGGAGACTGCCTAGAAGCACAACTTCCTCATTGTGCTTTGACAGCATGATTCCAATTGCTTTCTCCCCAACAAAAACCGAAAACAGTCTTAGTAAGAAAAAGGTTATTTTAATACGGCTCGGTTTTTAATCATTCGTGAGCTGTTTGTGTTCACTTTAGCATAAAAATCAAATAACCAACTACGTCATTGATCCAAGAGAAAGAGCACACTGCAGTGAGAGATAAGCACCATCTGCAGGTTTTATCCACTCCTGTGATTTCAGCCCCAAACTGCTGCTTGGATTTAGGTTGATGGTTTCAAAAGCAACAATGCAAAGCTCTGCCTTGTTGGGGGTCCAGATTGGGGCTAATTCAAATGGATCTTTATGTTCTGCTGTGGAGAGAGCGATCACATTAAATGGGTCATGGCATTAGACAGACGCTGTGTGGTGTGTGTATGTAGGGCAGCAGGAGGTGAAAGGGGGTTCATACAGGACCGAGGCATCGGAGGCACCCCAGAGGATGGGGTTTGTACAGATGATGCAGATGCAGCCGAGTTTGATTTCACAAACTCAGTCTCTTTCTCTTTTCCTACTGTCTGATTCCCAGTGAGCCTAACTCTCGTGTAAAAGTGAATCAGACTGCACATAAGGGGTTTAAATGTCAGAAAAACAGCAACAATTCCTGTAGTTACATAAGATCTAAGTGTTGCTGTGTGATGGCTATAATTACTGCCTCTGTTTGAAGAAATAGAATAAAGTTTCATTGAGCTAATGGCTAATTTCTGCCGACTTAAGACAGCTCATGGATTTCAAGGCTTTTAAACAAGCTTTGTGTGTGTGTGTGTGTGTGTGTGTGTGTGTGTGTGTGTGTGTGTGTGTGTGTGATTTAAATCAGTGGGTTATTAAAAGGTTTCTGCAGAACTCGATGAACAGGTGTGTTACCTATCGAATCAGGTGTGTTGGAGCAGGAAACAGCTGATGAGTGCTAAAGTTTACAAAGTGAATATTAGACATGGGAGTTTGTTTTGTTCCTGATTTTACTCGATGCTGTCTTTTTGTGTATTTTGCTTATTTGAAAACCGGAAATATCTTTGTGAGCAACACACACCAGTCTGACTTTAACTTCCTCCTGAAGGAGGATATTAAGCTTCTCTTGCATTTGTACAGAAAACAGGTTTGACCAAAGGGCCGTGACGGAGTGGTTTAGATCAGGCTCGATCTCTGGGTGGAGCTGAGATACTGTTCAGAATATACGTCAGCTCAGTGAATTCATGCACTGCAGCCCGGTCCTGGACCGAGACGAGGTGGGACACAACAAAACGGGCTTTTCTCTCGGCTAAGAAAGAGTTCTGTGTTCAAGGAGGACAGATGCCAGAGAGCGTGGGGCCGAGGCGGAGGCTGAAACACCCCTGGCACGCTTGAAACAGTCAGCGCCACATTCTCTGTTTTACCAATATACATATTATCAGCTGTTTATAAAGTACAACCGTAGAAACTTAGAAATGACACGCAAAATCTCACGCAGCATTGCCAGATCTCAACTGAAGTGTTTTAGCTCCGAGTTAAAACCAAGTTTAGCTCAACATCTCTAATATTTACTAAGTTAAAGCCAAGCTTTAACTGTAGTTGGCTGTGGTGACCAATTGAGTTGGTGTCAAATTCAAAAGTTAACCACTTGTAGATGTACGTCCATTAGTTCCTGTCTGAGGGTTCAATTACACCCTGTCCTGGAGAATTGAACAAACACACACACACACACACACACACACACACACACACACACACACACACACACACACACACACACACACACACACACACACACACACACACACACACACACACACACACACACACACACACACACACACAATCATTAAACTACTCTATATTCCTAAATATGCCAAAATCTGAGCTTCACCAAAATTGAAATAACTACCATCCTCTAGAGAAAAGAAGTCTTTCTCACTTTAAAAAAATAAATGGTTTTGATATGGCACATTCTGAAGGACAATCATAATGTTTCATACTGTAAAAGGAACAAACACTTAGAAGTGGTCATCCTCACACACACACAAGCCTAGAACAGACATTTATCGGACAAATTGACCGTGACTGCATCAGCCCATCAACACGTTCATGCAATCTGTATCAATGTTTGATTAACCGTCTCAGGCTCAAAATAAGTGTCGATAAAAGGACGAACAACTAAGTCCTTCAGGGGTACTTCTGAGTTCAAAAATGCTCATGAAATACGTATGTGGAGTAACCAGGTAGGTAGGTTTTAACGTTGCAAATCTGCAACGCCTGCCTCCAGAGGGTTAAAGCTGTGATAAGATAGGATCTTCTCTGCTGAACGTGTCCATTTTAATCTTATTTTATGAATTAACTGTGTACCAGTGAAAATCACCCAGCCTGTGGTCGACTCAGCCTCATCTTCTCATGATTGTCATGTGTTAGATAGCGTCCGTTTGTGGTTAACCTCAGCTGTATTACTCAGACGTGAATGTACTTAGCTTGCAAAACATCTTTTTCGCAGTGATGGTGAAATACTGCCAGAGGATTACATCCTAAGTCTGCTGTGAGCTGTTTATTTGCTTGAATAGACGTGTTTTATTTGTTAAGGATTAGCACAGCTTTGTACCACCCTCAGCGCTTGTTCTTTTTGCTGAAGGTTTTATCAGCTTACTTCCTGTCAGAGCTCTGCTGTTGCAGCAGTGACTCGGTTGGGAACTTAGTGCAGTTTCATGGAACACCCCGTTTTAAAAACCAAATTCTCTTTGTCTTTTTAGTTTTCTGGTAATCGAGCGTTTTCTCGCCTCCCATCAGAAGTAATCGTGCTCACTTGACTCTTGTCTGCAGTCTGCTGCAGAGGAATCCTATTTAATTACTGCATCTTTAGTCTTGTGCACAACTTACAATGGAATCAAACATGCATGTATTCTATTAATTTAGGGTTTTATGTCTAAATTTGTCACTACTTCACTGCCAGGCTGATCCATGAAAAATTTTTAGTGAGTTTCAGATTAATTTACCATCTTTGGAACGTGTTTTCACTAATAAAGAAACACAAAAATAGAGTTTTTATAGAAATCTCCATGGGAGGTTAACAAAAACCTACACGTTTACCATTTCCATTTACTTTGTCGCAGGACCGGAGCACAGAGAGCGGGTTTTTCAGCCTGCCTCTCTCAATACGTCGGGGTTCCTCAGTGAACAATCTGGATGTGGACCTCCCTGATGGAAGTTCCCGCTCTGGGCTCGGCCTGGAGGTTCAGCGCAGTCATTCCTGTTTGGACAACCTCCAGCAGAAGATCCTGAAGGTGACGGAGCAGCTGAAGATTGAGCAAACGGCCCGAGATGAGAACGTGGCAGAGTATCTGAAGCTTATGAACAGTGCGGACAAGCAGCAGGTGGGACGCATCAAGCAGGTGTTTGAGAAGAAGAACCATAAGTCGGCTCAGAACATTGCACAAATGCAGAAGAAACTGGAGCAGTACCATCGAAAGCTGAAAGACAGCGAAGCCCATCTCAGCCATCCCCCTCGCTCCTCCTCAGTCAAACGCAGCACCATACCCAGGGAGTCCCCCAGAGAGCTGCTGAGGGACATGACCGGCAGCGGCCGACACCCCACCATGGACAAGATTAAAACCATTGGACCAGGAGTATCCCTCTCGCCTCCTTTCTTCTTTAACAAACCCAGAGAGTTTGCCAACCTGATTAGGAATAGGTTTGGCAGTGCTGATAACATAGCCCACCTAAAAACCAACCTAGACAACTCCTGCCCCTCGCTGCCTCCAGAGAATGTGGGTAAAGGCCTGAGTAGCAGCACATCTTTGGTGGGAAAGCCCAAATATCCCAGTGATGATGAGTGCTCCTCAGGCAGCACCTCCTTTTCAGCAGACAGCAATGGGAACCAAGCTGTAGGAGGAGCAAGTGGAGGACAGGGACAGCAGGCCGAGGGAGACGTCCACGGCAAACTGGACCTGTACTATGATGATGTGAGGGAGATTAAAGACACCCAGAGCCAGATGGAGGAAGACATTGAGGAAATTAGGACACAGTTCAAGAAACATTATGATCTGATGAGTCAAACACTACAGGAGGAGAAATACAGGTGTGTGTCTTACCGTTCTTTCCTTGTTTTCAGGATACAAATTTAAAAGTAGTTGTAGTGTTTTCTAAATGGTGCATTTAATCCCACCAACACCTTGTATCTTGACTGAAAGGTACGGGCGTTTGGAGGACCAGCTGAACGACCTTTCAGAACTTCACCAACATGAAATGACCAATCTGAAGCAGGAGCTGGCCAGCATTGAGGAGCGGGTGGCCTACCAAGCTCAGGAGAGGGCCAGAGACATACAGGTAAGTCATTATGAACCAGTATGTTTATGAGAATAAGTCCATCTGTTCGTTTTTGGGCACTTATCAGGGTTTGGGTTGCGGGGGCAGCGACTCCAGCGTCTTCCCAGCAACCTCCACCAGCTCCACTGGTGGGATCCCAAAGCGTTCTCTGTCCAGCATGGAGACATAACGTGTTCTCAAATATTCCCCAAAGCAATATAGAACAATAAAGTTAGGCCATTTAAAAACGTGGCCAAGTCTTTGTAAAACTGATTATCCTCTCCTGTCCATTTAGGAAGTAAACCCTGGGTCCATACCACCTCGTTTTCAGCAAGAAAATCCAGTGCTTTGTGAAGCATATTCAGAGGCATGCCAGGCCTGCTGGCGGAAGTAGTTCCTCATATCTTCGGTGTCTTAACCATGAAACATTCCTTGGGTATGGAGGTGGTGGTCGTGTGATGTCATTTTTGTTGCAGTGATGTTGTGCAACCTAAAACCCTGGTTATTTACATCCACAAATGGTAAATGACCTGTAATTGTATAGCGCCTTCTTAGGGTTCCCTCCAAGGCGCCTCACACACAATCACCCATTCACACGCTGGTGATGATGAGCTACATTGTAGCCACAGCCGCCCTGGGTCACACTGAAAGGGGCGAGACTGCCAAACACAGGCGCCACTGGTCCCTCCGACTACCACCAGCAGGCAAGGTGGGTTAAGTGTCTTGCCCAAGGACACAACAGCAGCATTCTCTGCAGGGAGCTGGGATTGAACCTACAACCTTAACATTACTGGACAACCCGCTCTACCTCCTGCGCCACTGCTGCCCCAAGCAAAGGCAGCATTCACAAATCTTCACCTTGGTCTACATTTTTGAAAAAAATCCCTTTTTTGTGTTGCTTATCTTCACTTTCATGTGAGTGACAGGCCGAACGGTAGGAGACCTAGCTACGTGTGTACAGGGTCTTAAACTCCTCCACTTGATGTAGGACCACTCCCCTGACCTGGAGTCAGCAATCCACCATTCTCCAGTTGAGAACTATGGCCTCAGATTAGAACCCCGCGACATATCTGCAGCAACACTGATATCGGCCGATGTTGAACGTATCGTATTGGCTGGATAAATGAATCTGGGCTGATATTTATAACAGATTTATTTCCAACTCGTTGCTTACATCTTTGTTTCAGGAGGGGGAGGAGGATGTTCATGTGGTATTTGTGTGATGCAGGGAGGGTATTTGCAGCAGACACACAATGTGGTTGGTTTGGTCACTTTTTAAAGCCTACTAAATATCGGTTATCGGCCATGACAGCAAGGTGGACCAGATCAACTCTCTCTCTGTTTGGAATCAGTTCAATAAAGAAACACCGACCTAATCTGTTGTGTTCCAGGAAGCCCTAGAGTTGTGTCAGACCCGCGTGTCGAAGCTGGAGCTCCACCAGCAGCACCAGCAGCAGACGGTCCAGCTGGAGAGTCCCAACGCGCGTGTCCTCCTGGGAAAAAGCATCAACATCATGCTGGCCGTCATCACCGTCATCCTGGTGTGCATCTCCACCGCGGCCAAGTTTGTCGCCCCGCTGATGAGGAGCCGGTACCATGTGGTGGCGACTCTCATGGGGGTGTGCTTCCTGACTGTCTTCTGGAAGAACTGGGACCGTTTACAGTTCGCCATCGACCAGATGTTGGTACCTGCCTAGAAGAGAAAAGATCACTCTTAGTTATTAATGATGTAGCTGTTATAATGTGGGGATTGGTTTTACAATCCCCAGAAAATATGATTTATTTTTAAGAGGTTCGTGTTTTTTAAAGACAGCGTGGGTTTTTTATTTCCTTACATACATTACATTCTCTAACCTGAATGTTTTACTAACAACCAACCAACTATATTTATCTAACAGAACATGCTTGTTATTATGAAATCAGTCATAAGAAAGGTAGATGAGTGTGTTTTTACAGCAGATGGATACAGTTGTCTGATTTTATTCCAGCTGATCATGTGGCTCCCGTCAGCCTTGACCAAAATAGATAATTGGTTATTAATTACATTTTTATGTTTTTTTTTTATTATTTCCTCCAGTGAGGACAGAACACATGACTTTTCTAGACATAATCATTTGTAAAAAATAAAATGTAAAAAATTAGTTTTACTCAGGTTGTTTTGTCTGATGCTGACATTTTTTTTAAGTTTGTTGAAATTTACAAAAGAGCAGAAAGAAGAAATCACCTCATCTTCAACTCTGAAGAAATTTTCTGTTTAATTGTGGTTAAGTTGTTGTTTTAGACTCAGGTTCCGAGTTTATAAACCAATGCTCTCCATCCCTTGTCCTCAGGGGTATGTTTAGGTGTTTCCCTGCTCTAAAACGCATGATTCAGTAGTTGGTTTACCTGTTTAGCAGGTCTTCAAGATCTGCAGACAGGTAGAAACTGATAAGACAGCAAAACTGATTAAATCAGGTTTGACGCAGTAGAGAAACCATTTAGAATATGCAGGATGGTGGCCCTCAAGGACCAGAATTAGACACCCTTGTATTCTAACCGACCCACTGCTGTTGAAAACCACATTTCTGGATGGCTGCTGAATCTGGGATCTTTTTCATCCATACTCCAAAGGTGAGAGCTGAACTGCTTCTTCACTTCTGAAGCAACACATTTAAAAAAACAATCTTGGGGCTTTTAAGGTCTTTAGGGCATCAAGCTAGTTTTTTGGGTTTGAACAATGGTGTCTTATCACCTGTAAATTCAGAACTGTAGTTGGTCAAATGCTGGGCTATGCTAAGGAGAGTTTATTACTAAAATCCAATTAAGATGGTGAATAAATGCTGTAAAAAATGTGACAAGCATTTGACTCAAACGGGAACCAGAATAAGAGACATCCTTAAATCTGACAACAAAGACAAAAAAACGTCCATATTAAAAACACAGCAGATGGATAGTTTTCTGATAAAAAAAATATATATATATATATATATGCACAGTGGGTATTCAGCCCCCCATACATTTTTCACTCTTTGTTATATTGCAGCAGCCATTTGCTAAAATCAGTTACATTTATTTTTTCCTAATGTACACACAGCACCCCATATTGGCATAAAATCACAGATTTATTAAAAAGACAAATTGAAATATCACATGGTCCTAAGTAGTCAGACCTTTTGCTCAGTAGCAGAAGCACCCTGTTGAGCTAATACAGCCATGAGCCTTCTCGGTTAAGATGCATTACGTTTCTTACACATGGATTTGATGGATTTGGGGAAAAATTGACAGGGATCTGAGTGTGTACCCACCACACATACATATACACACATATATACACATATATATATATGTGTGTGTGTGTGTGTGTGTACATGTGTATAAAACAGATTGAGAAAGTGGCCATTGGTTTTCATAGCTGTCCTGTTTTCTAACCATTTCCAGTCTGTGCAGCAAACTGGTGTCTTTTAAGGAAGTAAAACATGTGGAAACAGCTGTGTCAGCGGCTTTCTTTTGCCTAATAAAGTAAAACTAAAACAAGTAACTTCACATAAATATTAGAACAAGACACATACACACACATGTACACACAGACCACAGAACAATAAGTGGCTCGCACAAGGAGGACCTCTAATTGTTTGATTCCTTCAGAGATGGAGAAGAAAGGGGATGTACAAGTAGGCCACGATTATTTCACTTGGCTGCAAAGCTATAAGACACCTGGGATTAAAATTCTACAAAACTGTTTTGTAAAATCTGGTCATATCTGAAAGGACATTTTTTATAAAAAACAAATACTTTATAGCATCTTTAACAACCCTATTAACGCATGGATTATTCATTAGTTACATCTTAAGTAATGACCCATAAAATGTTAGATTCCATAGAAAATATGAAATCAATTTGATGTATCTTTGAATATTACTTTACACAGAAGATCGGGACTTTTTATTGCAGGGATTAGGTAACACTTCGTATTAACCCAGAATCGAGAGAGAGAGAGAGAGAGAGACAAGTTTTAAAGTTTAAGAAGATTTATTTCTAAACAATTTAAAACAAGGTTAACTAACTCTAAACACTCTGTGTGATGAGGTGTGAATGAGGCAAGATGGATGGTGTAATGTGAATGTTATTATCAGAACTCTCATTTCCAGAGAAGCATTAGTTCTGTGTGGGAGCAAATGTTTTGCTCTAAACTACAGTCGGAGTTTCAAAACCACATTCAGATGCCATATTGCCGCTCTACATACCCTTTGCGGAGACCTCCATGTTAGATCCAGAATGCCAGGTCCTCGGACCCCCCTTTGGTACCGGAGCCGATGAAACAGCGTACGGTACGACTAACTAGTCTTGGTATTGCCTCCAGGTAAGCGACAGTTGGTTGACAGTGTCAGCGGGACCCTGACGCATCAGTGAGTTCAGCTTTACTCTGCAGGAGTGTTGCATTCAGGTGTAGCTTGCAACAGGTTTTATTATCCAGCTTGTCAAGGTTCTTTGTGGTTAAAAAGTTACGAGTGGCCGGCTCGAAACTCTAGAACTTTTAAACACAGTTAAGGGTGACGTGGGAATTAGTTTTATAATTCAGATGTTTTGATTTATGGTTGAATCAGAATTTGACAACAAAATAAACACCGCACAGACCAGCATCTTGATGTGGCACACCTGTGAGGTGGGATGGATTATCTCAGCAAAGCATAAGTGCTCACTATCACACATTTAGACTGATTTGCGAACAATGTTAGAGAGAAATGGTAATATTGTGTATCTGGAATGAATTTTAGATCTTTAAGTCCATCTCATGAAAAATTGGAGCAGAAACAAAGGTGTTGCGATTATATTTTTGTTGAGTGTACATGTACCTTTGTTATTGTTTTTCTTTTTCAAATTATTTTCTTAAGTGTTTGTGCTGCTGTAATAAGTGAATTTCTCCACTGTGGGATCAATAAAGCCTATTCTATTCTATTCTATTCGATTTGATTCAATTCCAAAGGTGCAATGAAGTAAGACTGACATCGCGTGGTCAAACTTGGTTACTGCAGGAAATGTTTTTTTTTTTTTTGCCTTATATCTCAGTGCCATTCCATGTGTTCATGGCTGTTGAAAGTTCAATTTTCAAAAGTTTAAGGTTCTCAATACTCAAGTATCTTCATGTGTATTTGTCAAGTATGTTCTTGTCAAGTACAGCAGAAAGTCTATTTTACCGAGTACAGGAGGATGAAGACGGCATTTCTAAGAGAACCAAACTCCATTAAGTCATGGCAACAAGCGCTGCTTTAATTCTATAAGTAAAAACAACTTGAAATAAAGATAAAACTCTAATTTGCCCCCTGAAATACAAAACAACAGTTAATATGTTACATTTGTATAGCATTTGATCTTTTTTTTCTAAATTAATAAAATACCAGCATTTCCCACAGTTAAATGAAGACAAAACAGAGCTATTTGAGGCAACGCTGCTTTTATCTTGATTTAGTTAGCCAGGTAGCTTTCTGAGGGATCTTGAAGAGTCAGAAAAGAACACAGCAATATTTGCAGGTAACACACAATATAATACAATAACAGACAACTTTATACTTATTTAGACTTAATTATTTGTACTTTTGATATGAAAACACCACAGTTAGCTTTTGTCACAGTCCTTCGTGAGTGGCTGACAACAAGTCCAGTGTCTCTCTGCCGAAGAGAGTTTCCTTTGAGTAGTGGGCACACCTGTGGCTGATCTGTTCAAGAGAAGCAGGACCCCATCACTCCACTGGATAGTTACTCACGTTGGGAACCTTCTAGCCAAGTCCTCTTGTGCTTAAAGTACTCTTGTGGCTTTGCCCGTAGAAACCAAGATTGGCAACTTCTCCACTGTGTCTCCCTCAGGTACTCTCATTCCTCATCATCAACATAATGGGAACTCAGACTTCTAAGTCCTGCTCCTCACTCTGGCTGCCCGCTTTCAGTCGCCTACCTGTCCACCTGCAGCTCCACTCTGGACTCCCTCCTCTTGTGCCTCTCACCCTCATCAGACCTCTTATCCCCCATGTATCAACCCAGGCTCTTGAACTCATAAGATTCTCCACCCCTCTCAACTCATTCTCCGTTAAATCCCCCACTAACTCATGCTTTTCAGACTCTCCTCCTCTGGATCAGGAACTGTTCTATCAGCAACGCTGATTAATTCTTTGTTAAAAAAAACTTTATCTTATCTCTTTTGGTTTTGTGACTGATTTTGCATGTGGGTCAGGAAAAACCTCCCATTGTAACAGCTTTCTCCACTGCAATTTTCCATTTGGGATATAATGGTTTGCAACACAGTGCATTGATCATCAAAGCAAGAACACATTTGGGAAGTTTGTGAGTACTTGCCATGATGCAGGATTGGAAGTACTCGGGCCAATGCTGATGACGCAAATTCAGACGAGTACACATTGATAAACGGCCCTGGATCAGCACCAGTAGATTCTAGATAACAAGCAAAGATGAGTTGTACACAGTAAGTTGATGAGGAGATAAATATATCGTCATATTTAGTGATAGCACTCTTGGGTGTTTTACAGCAGGGAGCACTTAATACACTTAATACGGTAATATTTCTCTGGCATTGGAGGAAGTGCGGTTTTTTGCTGTTAGCTTGCTGTTATAGTTCTGAACTACTCGTTAAAGGAAGTAAAATGCCACTACTGACTTATTTATTCACTTCCCACACACATTTCACTGTGATGTTGGAAATCAAAAAAGTAGCTTGAGATATTTTAGAGCAGATGATTTGCTTCCCCATTAGCATTGATAGCTCAATGTCAGCCTCTATCCTGCTCTACCCAATTTTAGAGTAAAAAAAATGCCAATGCTTCTTAGAGGTAAAAGAAACAACTTCATGGTTACTCCTGTTTACTGGCTTTGGTTCTTTGTTCTGTTCTGGTCCTGCTGGACCTGACTGCAGCCTCTGACACTGTTGACCATTACCTGCTACTGGAGAGGCTGAGAGACTGGGTAGGCCTATCAGGAACTGCTCTGGAGTGGTTCTCCTCTTATTTTTCTGAGTGCCCCTCTGTGACCATCTCCAAGTTTAGGTCCTCCACCACCTCTCTTACCCATGGTGTCCCACAAGCTTCTGTGCTGGGGCCTCTGCTCTTCCTCCACTATCTGCTCCCTCTTCAGCACATCCTGAGCTCCTTCAAAGGAATCTCCTACCATCTTTACGCAGATGACATCCAACTGTACATCTCCTTTAAGCCCCATGAGATGTCTAAGCTGCAGCTATTACACACCTGCTTAGACTCCATCAAAGCCTGGATGGCTGGGAACTTTCTACAGCTGAATGAAGATAAGACTGAGATCCTCATTTGTGCCCCAGACAAGCTGGTTCCCAAAGTCAGAGACTCTCTTGGTCAGCTTGCTTCTCACACCAAACCTTCTGTCAGGAATCTTGGCATGACCTTTGACCCAGCTCTCACCCTGGATTCTCATGTCAGTTCTCTTGTTCGCTCTTCCTTCTTCCGTCTCAGGAACATTGCAAAGCTGAGTCCCATTCTGTCCTGCTCTGAACTTGAGACAGTTATCCACACCTTCATCTCCTCACGCTTAGACTACTGTAACTCTCTTTTCACGTGTCTGAGCAGAACCTCCCTGAACCGTGTACAGGGGGTTCAGAATGCCTGTGCTCGGCTTCTGACCAAGTCCTCCAAATACACCCACATCACCCCGCTTCTCCTCCAGCTTCACTTGCTGCCAGTCAACTTCAGGGTTCATTTCAAGATCCTGGTTCTTGTCTAAGGGGCCTTACATGGACAAGCACCATCTTACATTGGTGATCTTCTTAGTCCCTACACCCCCAGCAGGTCCCTGAGGTCCAGTGATCAAAGCCTACTGGTTGTGCAGCACACCAGGCTAAAGACCAAAGGTGAAAGATCATTTGCTGCTGTGGCCCCTAGACTCTGGAACTGTCTCCCCGTGAGCCTGAGATCAGTGGACTCAGTGGCCTCCTTCAAAAAGCAGCTGAAAACTCACCTGTTCAAGCTTTGGTGTGACCTTCATCACCCTCTTCTTGTTCTGCTCTCCCAACCGATTCCACCTTCCTCAGGATCCACTGATTTCCCTCTTCCTATTCACTCTCTCTCTCTCTTTCTTTACATTTTTTAATCACAATTTTCTATTTTTGCTCATTTTAAATGTATTTTTAATCATTTTCTAAATTATTTTTTATACTTTACATCTTCTTCTTCTTCTTCTTCTTCTTCTTCTTCTTCTTCTTCTTCTTCAAGCAACTCAAGCTTTTTGCCTGCCAGTGTTTAATTACAAATGCAAATGAACAGCGAACAGTGACAATGTCCCCTTTTTTGTTTGTCTTTTAAAGTAGAAAAACTGACATGCCACCAGGTGGCAGATGTAGAAATATGTTTTAGTACAACCTTCCTTCCAACATGTCTGCAACATTACCAGGGATGGGCAATCCTGAAGATTGTTTTCATGCTTTAACACACCTGATTTCAATCAGCAGGTGATTGAAAGGCTTTTACATAGATGACCTGTTGAATTGGTGATTCAACCATGGAATTAGTTGTTGAAACAGAGAAACAACTAAAACATGCTGAATAGCGGCCCTCAACAATCAGAGTTACCCACCTCTGCACTAGACTGTTTTGTGATTATTTCACATTAGAATTTCTGCATATTGCTTCTTTAATGTACCTTCACTTTCCTTGAAGTGTGCAAACCTGATGCTGCTTTTTGTTGTCATAATTTTGAGAAACTTTTGAGTTTTTGGTCAAAAAGTGTTGGTCTGTGCCACATGTTGTTGCTTTTAGGCTCATCAAGCTGGGTGTGGATCATGGAGGCTTCTTGCTGCTCTCTAAACCTTCAGCAGATAAAGGTGGTGTGTCCTGGCTGAGACACAAGTACACATCACATACTATTAGAGTGAGTGTACATCCTTACTTTGGTTTCAACAAAAGGTACGTAGAATCTCTGTCAACCCTTTAAAATTTGTTTTTTTTTTCACTGATAATAATTTATAATTTTATGATTTGTCAGCAAACGCCACAACATGAATGATCAGATTTGTACAGTTTTATTTCAAGTAAGAAATATTAAGTCAGCAGTTGATTAAAACTGAAATTCACTTAATCTAAAAACAAGAATAAACATCCTGCACACTGTTTGGACAAGTAAAAACTCTTGGGGAGTAATTATTCCAGGAAAATACTTCATCCTGTTTCATCATAATTAAAAAAAAATACTGAGGTAGATGCAAGGCAGTAAGGGTTAATTAATACCATTTCAATGAGACAACGATCTAGACAAATATAACTACTCCACAGAGAAGCTGGACGACATAAACATGTTTAACAGGAATATGGCTAAAGTTACCCAGAATTTACTGTCATGAATCAACACAGGAAACACAGAAAGCATCCACATCAATCTTATATCACCAAAGACCTTTGTTTCTTTTTAGTCAATAGAGCTTGTTGTTGTTCTTGCAATAACAAAAAGACATTTCACTCATGACGAACTCGTTTCCTTGGTGATGCTGGAGGATCCAGAGAGAAGGCAGTGGGAGAATTGGGACGAGACTCTGGGATGTATTCAGTCTGATACTTGTCTATGTACGGTTTGGCCACATCCCACACCTGTATAAAATATATGTGTAGGAAATTTAGACACAATCCCTTTAATTACCAGTTACATTAATCCTTTAAATGTAGAACTTGCCTTCTGGTCTATAATGAGACGATGAACAGCTTCAATGTCTGGAGACATGAATCTGTCTTTGATCCACGGCCTGTTAACAGCGGTAGAAAAGAGTGGAAATCAGATCAATATTAACCATCCTGTGCATAATTCAGAGCTTTGTACCTTGCCCTCCTCTGTTTGACTTACTTGACCACACTGCGCACAAGTTCATAGACCTTCTCCAGAGGGGTGGTGGTACGAAGTGGGCGGAGGAACTCAATGCCCTGACAGGCCACCAGCAGTTCAATAGCCAGAACTGATCACAGAGATCATCCATTCAGTTTGGTAACAGTTAGTAAAACAGTGAATAATAACATCTTTATTAGGAATCTCTTTTTTTTTTTTTTTTTTTACTTTGGAACATGGTTGTCACAAAACCACAAATGGGAAAGAAATGTAGCTGCATCAGTAAGGCATTAAATGACTTTAAAATTTACAGCTGTGCTCCTGAGACTTGAAGAACTGCTGCTTTTGCATATCCTAGGAATCGGGACAAACCATTATCAAAAGGTTTTGCTCTGCAGGTTGGTCTAGCCAAACTCCATTGTACCCATAAGGAGCGCTGCATCGCTTCGTTGTCCCTGTTTACTTTGCTTTTCAATATATTTGCCTGCACCGGAGCTCGGCAGTAACCCCATTTGATCAAGACACCTCCCTTTGTAGCACCAAGGCGTAATCACCATTTATAAGATGGATAATTACCGCAATATTACTGCCAAGTGAGGCGGAATGAATGCTGCAAAATGTGTCCATCGCCATGTCGGCATGGCGCGTTTATAAGACACACCATTGCAGTAATATTACGCTGATATGCCGGCATGGTGTTGTAAAAAGGGCTATAGGGTCACAATACCATACCATAAACTCCACTTCCCAGCATTCCCCGCACCAGTACCCACCTTCCCACATCATCAGGCTCAATCTATATCAGGAAGTTCCCCACAACACTCGGGGCTCAGTTACAACTCTCTGTCCATGGCTTTAGCACTCCCTTAGCATTTGGGTCAGTTAACAGCAACTAACACGGTAGTGTGTTTTATTTTAGTTCAGCCATTGCTTTTGCAGCACGTTGGCTCACTCTGTCACATCGCGCACCTAGAGCTCCCACGCTCACCTCGCTCAGTCGCTTCCTGAATGCTGCAGTTCATAATCCACTTCTGGTGGTCACAGCCCACTCGGTTCCTGTCCGTCTCTTAGTTCCACGCTGGAGCGACCGGAGCTTCTGTGCTCACCTTATCCTTTAGCTTCCTAGCAGCTCCACCTCCTTCAGTCATGCCAGATGGTTAAAGCTTTCAACCGGACATGTCGTTGCGGCTTTCAGATTCACCCCGGATGACCCAAAGCTTCCACGCTCACCTTACCCAGCTGTATCTGAACAGTAAGCCCATTCTTTTTACTTCCTGGAACCTCTCCACATTCTCGTTTCCCTTTGAGGCTCATGCCGTCATTCTTAGAATAACGGCATGTCAGATGTCTCCCATCGCTAGCACTTCCGCGTTTGGGTCTTGTAACACTCTACAGACCTCCTCACTGTTAACTACGAAGGGGAGGAGCCTGACACATAGCACACTATGTTTGCAGAGAGACGCTGGGCGGGCTTAACGCCAGAGCTGCAATGGAGAAAAACTACAATGATGGCATTGGCTCAGGGACAGCACCCATTTGAAATGTCTTTGGCATCAATTTTGGACGATTTAAAGTTAAGCTTTTCTGTCAGATATGAGTAGATAAAAGTTCTTAAGTCCTAGTTTCCATAGCAACTACTTTGTCACATTGTTTTTTGCTCTGACTGGTCCAATTGTGTGCAGAGACTGTTCGAAAGACAACCATTGATTCTGCCCCACGACTGAGCTCTGTCTATGGGTCGTGGCCAGACTATATAATTTTATATATATAGTTAAAAGCTGAATATAAATCTGATAGTTTTAATGCTAATGTGCAACAATGGAAATAGCCAAGCAAAATAAAAGCAGAGTCAGACTGTGTGATAGATCATATATCTATGTTCCTACACATTTAAATGGTTACAAAGAAATTGTGTAAAGGGTCATCTGAGCACATGATCATCTGTTATTCTTTTCACATTATTTTTTTAATGAATTTTAAAAGTATTAACTGTTTTTTAGGAACTCTTGAAATTTTCAAGATTGTTTTCAAGTTGAAAAACAATGTGGTTGTGCCATTTACTGAAGGAAAATGTTCACCTTGCTCCACATGCTCTACAACCCTCAGGGATTTGCGAGCGGCCCAGCCTCCCATGGATACGTGGTCCTCTGTGGCAGCACTGGTGGACAAGGAGTCCACAGAGGACGGGTGGCACAAAACCTTATTTTCTGAAACTTAACAAAGAGCATGATTACAGATTAAACACCTTTCCTTCACACATCTTGAATTGTAATTTGTCTTGGATAAAAGCCTCTTAAAACTGAATGATCATAAACATCTTCCTGTCTAATCCTCAAACACTAACCTAAAGCAGCAGCAGTGCAGTGGGCGATCATGAAGCCTGAGTTGAGGCCACCCTCGTTGACGAGGAAGGCCGGCAGCTCGCTCAGGGAGGGGTTACACAACCTCTCAATCCTCCTTTCACTGATGGAGGCCAGCTCATGGACGGCGATGGCTAAAAAGTCCAGAGCCTAGAAGAAACAAATTATCATTAACAAGTGACAAAAATAAAATCTGCAGAAGATCAATAAACAAATACATTACAAACCTTTGCTGGGTATTCACCGTGGAAATTCCCACCTGATATGGTCTCGCCTCGCTCTGCAAATACCATCTTTGACCAAGTTAAAGCAAAGTAAGTGCTATGGGTTTCAGCTGTGACCTGGTGTAAAAACGTCATCTAAATAAAATGTTGAATGCAGATTCGTGCCACAGATGTAATACTTTAGTGAAGGATACAGGATTATCAGTAGCACTGTTAATTTCTACGTTGATGATGTCCTGCACAAATTTGATGGTGTCATTTGCAATCCCATGAACCTGTGAACACAGAAAACATGATACAAAGGAAGTCTCTTATAACATCCCACCTCATCACTGGTGCTGTTTTATCAAGGTCACACAATCAATGATGTCAAGTAAAAAAAAACACAATATGTTGTTTTCCAGAATAAAGGTTACCTGAGGGCAGCATCGCATCGTGTAGGCATCCTGGACTCTGTCACAGAACCTGTGGCTCTCTAGAAAAATACACCAAACACAAGCTGCATTTCAGTGCTGCAGGGATGAGAGTGCAACCTAACTAATGGTACAATAGGTTTTGATTTGGGGGAATTTTTTTTTAAATGAGATCAATTCAAACCCATACATAAGTATATCTGGCTTATATGATTTATATCCTTTTATTTGTCTACTTTATCTGAGTCTGTCCACTGACCTGCAATCTCGGATAGGTGGTGATCAGAGTCCAGCAGCGAGCGGAAGCGTTGAGCAACCTCTATCTGTCCAGGATGAGGCCGCAAAGCATGGATGTCTATGAGAGGAGACCAGAACGTGAGCAGGCATGAAGGGTGGAAAACTGTTAGTTTAGTTCATGCGTGCTCCTGCTCACCGCTGTCAAAAGCCTTAGTGGTTCCCTTCAACACCTCCAGGGTGAGAGCAGCAATAATATCTGCCTGGCGAGCAATCGCCTGGGCTCTCTCCACTGCCTCCGCCCCTAAAGAGGTGATCATCTGAGTCCCATTAATCAGAGCAAGACCCTGAGGGAGAAAAGAAAGATGGGTGTGTTTTTGTGTTTTTAAAGGTCATCTTTAGAGAACTGGTGCAGTTTTGAAAGATAGACCGTACTTGAAGGAATCCGGAGGTTTACTTTCATTTAAAATCTAAACGAAAGGCTGTTACATGAAGAAGTTTTCATAAATGTAGTTTTTTTTCATCAGAATTTTTACGGACGAAAGCAAAAATGCAAAGCAAAAATTACTTGGATAAAGACTGAAACAATGACTACAATTGATTGAAATTTTTGTCAACAACAAAAAAAGAATCAAAAATTGTCAATAAAGAAAATCCAATCAGAAGATGTGAGGAACAGACAACCAATCAGCTAAGGGAACAGGCGGGACTCTATGAGAAAAGAACCGGTCAGAGTCCAGAACTAGCCTTCATTGAGCAAGCTGCGGGAAAACAACAGTAGAAGAATTTATGTCAACAAGGAGAAAATGTCCACAACAGAGAAAAAGAATCAAATCTGAAAAGTGTTTGCTGAGTTAATTAGACATATCACCTTCTACAAGGTAGAAATGGGCAACTTCTGAGTGTGTAAACTCATGCTGCATGTGAACAATACTAATTTATAGCATATGCATTTTATGGTTTATTTATTAAAAAGATGTCATTGTGATGCACTATATTCTATGTTTTAATGCGTAGATAATGAATGTTTAATAATTACATTTAATTAATAATAATTTAATAATACAGATTATTTTATTCACATTGAGAGACTCAGTCTCAAATGTATGTTTTGAAATTTTCCAGTAAGGATTTAAAATAAAACAATTATAAATGAATAAAGACTTTTAACGAACTAAAGTGTGAAATGTGATTTTTTTTCTTATTGCAGCACAGTTTCCTTTATAGATGTTTTCATTTGCTCGACTAAAATAAGACAAACTAAAAACAAATATGACAACTAAATCCTGACTGAAACTAAACTGAATTATGTTGTCAAAATACTAAAACTCAATTTAAATTTCTTGTCAAAATGATGCAATCCAGCGCTGCAGGGTGCAGAAGTAGCCATAGCTAACTGGTTCTACTATTTACTGCCCAAATAATCCTAGAATCCTATTAAAAAAAAGCCAACATCAGTGTTTAAAAAATAAAGTTCGCCAAAACAACTCAAGTTGTTTAGCATGACAGCACTTCACTTTAATCAGTTGTTAGCTTCAATCCAGTCAGAATAAATCTGTTTCTCCAAACTGAGCTAGTTGAAATATTCTACAATAAGGAATTATTTTTTCATATTTGATATTTCCACAGAAACCATGTTTAAAGATCTGATTTATTACATTTTCCTGTATTACAGACAGAGCAGCACATGCATGGATTTAGACGTTACCTCTTTAGGCTTTAATGATACTGGCTTTAGCCCATGAGCCTCCAGGACCTGGTCAGTAAAGACAAGTAAAAAAAAACACATGTACAAGGTCAAAGGTCATCAAAAAGCAAACATGTTCTCCTGATGGACCCTACAGCTTTGTACTATTGCAAATACAAAATGTGCTTACTGGATTAAAACTGCTGTTTATGACCACAGAGAAAAGACTCTCATCTTACATATTTGGCGTCTGCCCATCCGCTCTTTGGGGACCACATTTTACCCTCTCCCATCAGCCCCAGGGCCAGGTGTGAGAGGGGTGCCAGGTCTCCGCTGGCACCCACTGTTCCCTTCTCTGGAACAAAGGAGAGGCAGGAAGCTGCAGGAGTAGAGACCAGGATTAACCATGTGACTGTCGGCTTCCTGACTCTGAATTCCTAAGGATGCTATCAATGATTGATTGAAATCATTATCCCACTTCTTGATGGGATAACAGAAGCTGGGTGAAGCTGGTTCACCATTGAATGCTTGGATCATTGCAAGAAGAGTTTCCAGAGAAATGCCACTGTGTCCCTTGGCCAAAACATTGATCCTTAGAGCGAGTAGCATGCGTGTCCTCTCAGGGCTCAGTGGGTTCCCCAAACCTAAGTATCAGACAACTCTGAAGCATCTTCAATTACAACAGCTCTGAAATCTTACTCTTGATGAGAGTTTATAAATATTTGTATTACCTGCTGAGTGTGAACGCACTAAGTTTTCCTGCAGCTCCCTGTGGAACAAAAACATTTGACCATCAACATGTTCTCTAGCAGAGGACAAAGTCAATTAACAGAGCATAAATGTGCTTTTACTTGAGCTTGCTGACAGGAATGACAGTTCGGGCAAATTTCCCAAAACCCGTGGTGATTCCGTAGACAACTACAGAAAGAAGAGAGACTATGTAAATGTGTGTTTGTAATAATGTAAACCAGTTAGTGCTGAAACTGGATTACATGATTTATTTAGATTTTTCATCTTGGATTGACCTTTGTTTTCTTTGACAATGGTGTCCAAAAGTTCTCGTGCTTGCACAACTTTTCTCTCTGCCTCCGAGGTCAGCTGAAAGAATGCCAGCAAATGGTTACTTTCAGTTAAATAATACCACAAACTGTGCCAAAGACAGCGTATATCATTACCTTTATCTTGTAGAGTCCTCTTCCTAAGTTAACTAGATCTGTGGATGTCAGACTGTTGCCATCTAAGTAAATGTACTGCACAGGGAATCACGTGTAAAAAAAATTATAGTACTCAACAAAATGTTCAAAAGACAATGAGAAAAAGGAAGTTACTTCTCCTGGTTCTTTGTATGCAGCTGTTCTGATGTTGGTAGTGTAGTTAAGGATGGATTTCAATTAAAACTATTATTCTCTCTCTCTCTCTCTCTCTCTCTCTCTCTCTCTCTCTCTCTCTCTCTCTCTCTCTCTCTCTCTCTCACTCACACACACACACACACACACACACACACACACACACACACACACACACACACACACACACTTAGGGATACATGTTAGAAACTCCAGGCTCACATGGGATGAAGTCAGGAGACATGGTGTCTCCTTCAATTGCTGAAAGCAAACCAAAATTATTGTTAGCTTTAATTGCACTTTTTCACGAAAGTTGTGCGTAATTACGCACGAGTACGCACGCTAAATATTAAAGCATCGTTTCCCCTGTTTGCCCTCCATTCATGTATTCAGTTATTACCAAGCTCGACGAAGTCATTATCCTCCAGCACATCATCGATGGTGTCATCTGCGTCCAACAAGCCCGAACCCTGGCACCTGCGCACAATGAACCGCGTCTCCCTCACTGACGCGATGCCGCCGTTGTCCGGTTTGTTCTTAATATACCGTTTCAGCGCCTCCAGTCCGAGCCAGTGGATCGTGTTGGACGTGTCCCGGCAGGGCACCGCCAGCCACTCATCACGGATGTGGACGGTGAAGCGAGGCATGGCGCGTTAGCATTGAACGCTGCACCCCGAGATCCAAGGATCCAGGTTCAACCGCGCTCCGTCCGGTGACCAATCAGATGAAGCCGAGGGAGGACCACGCCCGGCCACTGTCACACCTCTGGAGAGCAGTGACCTCCGCACAGGTCATTCACACAGATGTTTGGACCCATCGACCCGCGTGTGTGCACGTGATTCAGGAACAAAAAGGCCCCCAACAAGTTTGTTTTGTATTCTGGCGGCAGTAAAGGTGACTTAAGATCGTACAAGTTGGATTTGACTTCATCATCGCAGCTGCTGTTGTGATGAGAGGACTTTTATTGTCGTTTGCTGTCATCAGAGATGCTATGACATCCATCCATCCCCCCATTGTCTGAACCCGCTTTGTCCACGTGTGTGTGTGTGTGTGGGGGGGGGGGGGGGTAGAGCCAGTCCATAGCAGGCCAGGGCAACACAGAGACACGCAGGACAAACAATCATGCACACACACACACACACACACACACACTCACACCTAAGGACAATTTAGACAGACCAATTAACCTAACAGTCATGTTTTTGGACTGTGGGAGGAAGCCGGATGCTACTGACATCATTTTATTTCTTTTCAGTTGTTTTTTTTTTTGGTTCAAAATAAAATCAAATAAATTGATTAAGTACAAAAACTAAAAGGTAAAAGATAAAAAATTCTCTTAAAAAATTCTGCACTGGGTTTAGTTGTTCCTTTGAGCGTCAGAAGAATAATTTATTCACATTTGCAAAGAAATTTTCACATAATTAAATTCGCAAGAAGTCAGCTGAAGCAAGTATGGTTATGTGCATCTACAAAGATCCTCATAAAAACACCATTTGTGCAACTGCCCTATTCTGTGTGTGGAGAAATATGGTGAAGCCAAAACTGTTGGCAGGTAAGCAGATTTTCTCTTACATCCCGTGCCAAGAAACTACTATTCTGATTTATCTGAATTAATTTCATTTCCATGTGGTGATGATAATATTATTAAGCTTCACATCTTATTTATACAGGATTTACACCCTTCTCTATAACTGAAAACACATTTTGAAAACTAAAAATCACGGTTACTTCAAATATAATTGTTCTTTTCTTTTGTGAGAAATTAACCCATCATTTCATATATATATATATATATATATATATATATATATATATATATATATATATATATATGTGTGTGTAGTATATGACCTTTTATTTAGTCTCATCAGAAGTTGGTTCTAAAATTTCTTAGAATCAACCATCGGAATCAACACGTGCCCTTTTGGGTCTAAAAATGAGTCCTGCAGCTCGAAAAGTATCTCGTAGGCAGAGGTCACAAACGGCATAAAGCTGGGAAAGGTTTCAGGACATGCATGGAGTCAAATGGGCGGGTAGGACTCCACCTGCTTGGAGGTTTCAGCTGAACATGGTTGAGGTACAAAAGAAGTCCTCTTCTCCTGAAGAAAAAAATGTGTCACCTCAGGTCGCTCCTTCAGATGAGTTTTGATGAAACCAAGCCCTGTGGAAGACTAAATTTAAAGATTTTAGAATAGAACATGCTAGAAAATCCCTTTATTGTGGGAAAATGTTGGCGTCATCGCAGCAGTTACATTTGTTACAGGAGCAAAAATAGAGTAAAAATACAGGGAATTATAACAAAGAAATGCTTAAAAGATTTAAAACGCTCAACGGTCCAAAAATCTAAATATTTCATTAATACACATTTTAAAGAATGAAAAATAAAATAGTTTGTGGAAAAAGATGGCAGATTGTTTACAGGGAAAGGGAACAGAAACTGAACTAATGCATGGGTGTGTGAAAACCACAAAAGCAGCAGGAATGAAGAAATGCAAAAGTGATTATTTACTGGTTTTGTTGGGAGCAGTGATGGTTTTTAATCCTATCAGCTGCTGGGAGGAAGAACCTTAACAATCCTTCATACACCCAGGATACAGCAAACTGCCACTGAAGGAGCTCTCCTGCTCCAGGATTACGATTTCCCAACAAATGCATCAAATAACTTAACTAACTTGTTGCATTCTAGTCGATGTATAAAGAAACTCATTTGCATTCATAATTTCATAATCAAAGTGTGAACTATTCACATAGGGTCACAGTGATCTGATCATTAATTTACTTTAGTTGTCATTTGTCCTATAACACATGCCTCACGCATCAGTTTTGCATTTGTGTAAAACAAATACGAGTTAATTTTATTTGGGAAAACAGTTACACCGCTTCTGGATTATTCAGATTAAAAAAAAGAAACATTTTTAAAATTTAACCAAGATTCATGATCACTCTTCCAACAGGTCCTGAACTTTGGGACAAGAAGAGCAGCAGAAATCAGCTCTGGGTCACAACGGGCCTTACTTCAGCAATGGTTAATTTTTCTAACTTACCTTTCTGGAAAATGCTTTAGAAATCTAACAAACTGCACGGCATAGGACCTAAAATCTAAAAGGAAAAATAATTCAAGCTTGAAAATGCACTCACCAGGGGAGCACAGCTCAATTTACCCTCGATAGTCATTTATAATCTGATTAATTTAATCCGACATTTAGTCTTGCTCATCTTAAAAGTCATAAGATTATTATATTGCTCCAGTTACCCCATCAAATGTATCAGTAAAAACAAAGATGGGACATTTCCTTTGGACTGAATTGTGATCTTGCTATTATTCTAAAACACTACCCATGGTGTCATTTTGTTGTTTGATTGTCTGCATAGTTTTGGGATAGTTCTGATAATGATGATTTGTACTGATTCTCTGCATCTTTGATAATTTCCTTCATCTTCACCTGTGACATCGCTACAACTTGTGAGTTGTTTTTGCTTTTTGTCAGAATTAAAATCAATTAAACAGGAAATTTCAATATAAAAACAGCCACAAATATATTTTTTCTAAATTGTCTTTTATTAAACATATTGATCAGCAGATATCCCAAAGGATAGAGCTATGAAAGTTACAAAAGTCTCAGTGGAAAGCGGACATCAGGATTCTCGGTATTGCATTTGTCCCCTCCACCACCAGAGGGCGCCACAGTTCTACCTGGTAACAAAACTTTGTCAGCGTTTAAAGCATAGACTGTACATTTAAAGATAACACTGGATTACGTTAAAATAAGCTCTAGTAATGTCATTTGTGAACAATCATTCAGTGCAGCAAAACTTTAATGATATGTCCACCTGAAAAATAATTAAGAATTGTGCATAATCAGTGGATCAGTAGTCCAGAGTTGACCGGAGCTTTTCCTATGGACACAGTTTGTTTTTAAAATGCAAAATCTAAAGAAATGTTTTCTTAGTGGGAACTGCAGATCAATGTGGAGGTTTGCAGCAGAAGAAACAAAGAGCTCGTTTGTTTATTGGCAAAGTTCATAAACTGCAGTCTAAAACAAATGACTACAGAAGCATGTTTGAACAGTTCTATGTTCAGTTTGTTCTTGCTGTTAGGAGTAAAGATTTGGAAGAAAACCTTTGTGTCTTCACCGATCTGCAGCATACAGGTAATGATAAAATCTGGCTTCTTTCCAGTTCCACTTTCACATTAAGCCTCTGTGGGCCTCTAGCCGCTCGTCAGTGGTCCGTTCCTCTCAAAGCCACCTCTAACCCATGCTGCTGTTGTTCAGCTTGGTCCACTCAAAGATGTCCTGCTCGCACACGATGTCCGAGTTGAGGAGGAGGTAGCGATCGCCCACACAGAAGTGCTTCTGGCAAGCAGCACATTTGAAGCACTCCAGGTGGTACACCTTGTCCCGCACACGCATCGTCATCTCAAAGGCCCGGATCCTCTTCTCACAGGAAGCACAGAGACCGTCCTGGCCAAAGAGCCTGGGTGCATCAGACAGAACCAGAACGTTAGAGGAACAAAACCACCTTTACCGTTTAAGTTCCCTCCATACAGGATGAAACATTAAAATCCTGACGTTACATCAGACCAACCTGAGATAATCCCGTCGACACAGCTTTCTACCCAGTTTGTAGTAGAGCCGACGGCCCACCTCACCCAGCCGGCAGCCACACAGATCACAGCTCAGGCAGTCCTCATGCCAGTACTGCTCGATTGCCTTTAGGAAGAATCTGTCACCAATGCTCTGCTGACACCCACCACAGGTCAGCAGGGCTGGTGGCATCTGGAGGACCTCGTCAACAGGCTCCCTGTACAACAAAAACACAACCCAAACATTTAATATCTGCCTGCGACAGCAGCAACTGTCCTGAGTAGAGGCGCTGCTTGTCGACAGGAAGGGCAGGCAATTGCTTGGAGCCCCCAGGCCACAAGGGGGCCCAAGAGGGCTGAAAAACACTGAAGTCTGAACTACAACAGCAATAGAGCTCCGGACCCCACGTGACTCTCAGTTAGTGGACGCCATTTTGGCATGCAAAAAAGGTAAACAAACACGGATGTAACCATGAACATGAACGGGATCCGCTTGGATTTTACTTCGTCTGAGTTTACGTCACACTTAAAAACAGAAGAAATCGTTTTATATAGTCAGAAATTAAATAGACTAAACATCTCCGACCCTTACCGTGCCCCTGGGATACTTTTTAAAAATGCCAGAAGCTGTCGGAGCGGACTTCTTATCGGCACAACACCGGACCTGACCAGGGAACCCCTTGGGATTTACCCGGCCGGAGGAGCTGGGGAGAGGTCTGGGACTCTCAACTCTACTGCCCGCTCCGACGCCAGAAGCTGTCGGAGCAGGCTTGTTACCGGCACAACACCAGACCTGACCGGGGAACCCCTTGGGATTTACCCGGAGGAGCTGGCTCCGGCAGCTGGGGAGAGGGAAGTCACGCTACTGCCCCCGCAACCCGACTCCGGATACGCGGATGAAAATGGATGGATGGACGGACAAATAACAGATTCACACGCAAGTAGTCTCGGTGAGACAGATAATAGCAATCCAAAGTGCTTTTTATGTGTGATCTGACAATTGATCAACCACTGCTTAAAAATTAAATACAGCTTAGCCGGTTAACTGCTGTGATCATAAAACACGTAAACGGCAGCACGCAGAACTCACGAGGCAACGTTTTACGTGATGTTCACTTGTTGCTATGAGTAATAAGACAGAAAAAGCCACGCCAAAATAAGTTTAGGAAGCCCACTAAGAATCGTAATAAAAGCATTTAAAATAAATACCATACACAGTTGAGGACACGTTGTTTAAGTACCTGATATGAAGCGGTCGCTGCATAAGCGAAAACCTTTACTCTCGGGATCCCACAGCTTCATTTTATCCCGGTCACTAACGTGTTTTATTACAATGATCCAACGTTTGCGGCGCTCCGGAACTTGGGGAATCCTGTAGATGACTCATTCCTTATGTCGTCCGCGTCTGTTCTGCATCCTGGGGCACAACAGGAATCTACCATATTTCCCGTTTGATTGAATTTTCTGACAATAACAAATAGTCCAGCTGCCGGCTTCTGCATGCCAATATGGCGCCGTTTCGATTTGAACTGTTGCATGCCGGGAGATGTGACGTCAACTCCCGGAGCTCTATGGGACTGTGAAAAGCTGTAATTTGACATAACTTGGGCTGTCTCACACTACCCAACAGGGCACTCCTCCTCCCCCTCACTGCTCTGCCACACATTTCTGTCTGTGCACCCCCCACTCCCACGCTCAAATAAACTGCAGCACACTTTCCAGTCTGCAGTGTTTGCTTGGAACCCCATGACAATCTTGCAGCACCACTGGTCCTGAGTTAGTAAAGGATGTAAGATATGACTCATACACACCTATCAGGAATATTGTTTAGGAATTTTCTTTAAAAAAATGAAAAATAATATGTTGCTACTACTAAAAATGTGAAAAGGATTCTTGAAACACTTGATCGGATCAAACAACGAAGATGTTTTTCCAGAACTTTTGAAACATTTATTTTAAAATATGCAAGTAATATTTAATATTTCTTTTCTATCTTTTAACAGTTGATCTTCAGCCGGAAAAAGGTAAATGCCTTCTCCAGGTCAGGGACAAGGTCCTGCTTAAAGTGGAGGAGTTTACATGTCTCAGGGTCTTGTTCATGAGTGAGGGAAAGATGGAGGACAAGATCAATAGGTGGACTGGTGCTGCGTCTGCTGTGACGTGGGCGTTGTACTGGTCTGTTGTGGTGAAGAGAGAGCTGAGCCGGAAGCTGAGCGTCTCAATTTACCGGTCAATCTATGTTCCAACCCTCACCTATGGTCACTAGCTCTGGGTATGAGATTGTGAATACATGCAGCCGAATTTAGTTTTCTCTGCAGGGTGTCTTTAGAGATGGGGTGAGCAGCTCGGTCATCCAGGAGGGGCTTGGAGTAGATCCGCTGCTTCTCTACATCAAGAGGATCCAGTTGATGTGGCTCAGGCATCTAGTTAGGATGCCTCCTGGACACCTCCCTGGTGAGGCTTTCTGGGTAAATCCAACTACAAGACAGGAAGACCCAAGACACGCTGGAGGGACTATGTTTCTCGTCTGGCCAGGAAACACCTTGGGCTTCCTCATGAAGAGCTGGCCCAAATGGCAGGAGAAAGGGAAGTCTGGGACTTTCTAGTTGGGCTGCTACCCCCCATGACCTGACCCAAGATAAGCAGACAAAAATGAATGGATTTTTGATCTTGGCTTATTGTAGAAAAGCCCTCAAAGTCTTGCATTTTGGGAAAACATTCCCTTTGTTACGCTTATTTTGTAGTTGGCCGGAAGTCTGCTCCAGAAGTCCAGCTAGAGATAGAGATAAAATGGCTTTAGGTTCATATCTCTCGAGGTTTACGTAGCTCTAGTTTGTGTCCCGGGTTCCTCTCTGCGATATGTTGCTGCCTGGGGGATAGCACCGGGACATGGTCGAGTGTGTGCGTGGATGAACAGTAAGTGCAATGTTGGACTGATTATGGCTATCGAGTTAATTATTATGCATTTCCTGTCCCTGTGAAAACGCTGTTGATATACCTTCCCTCGGGACCGATCGGCGCTGGTCTGCTGGTGTCGTACGAGGAGGCATGAATGTGCTTTGTATGAGTATACGGGAATGTAGAGAAGTACAGCGGTGTTGTTACAGTGCGGGAATGGGAGTTGGTTCAGAGTATCTGAGCTAAGCTAACCCGCCACCGGAAGTACCCAGTCGGGAAAATAAAAGCACTCTTTTGTTTACAGACCGGAAGTTGACCGACGACGTCAAGGTTAACTTGACAAACCTTAATATAGTGGCTTTATGTGAGCAGATGATGATGATTTAGTGACCTCTGACTGTTTAGTATGGTTATTAACTGATGATGTGGTGGCGGAAGGTTAATATTCTGATGTGTGTTAATTGTTTAATAAGGTTAAGTTATACATACGTCATATTTGTCATTCTGCAGGAAAACCACACCCATGAGCTATCATGTCTATCAACTGCTATCCTGATTTACTTGTCCTAACCTATGGGCTATAATAAAGAAGCCAGGCGCACAACTACAATTATGACTCATCTTCTTTATATTCTGAGGGGCTTTAAGTAATGCTCTGGCCAGCATTCCCAGTGTAAAGCGAGTTTCAACCTTGGTCCAACGCCTTTACAGTGTGCCTTAATACACTTATGTTACAACTCCTGTTCCCATTATGGCTGCAACATCTGACTCTAAACATGTAGTTTAGTTTAGTTTTACCTTACATCCGTTTCTTTAATTTTTCCTTAAATTTTCTTTATGAATATTATAAGCAGAAACATCTGATCTCATCGTCTTGCACGTGGGATAGTTTTCTGATAGAATGTGTTTATTTTAGTTGACTTACTCGTTTGCTTCCAGTGTTTTCCTCTCTATGGTAGAAGTCATTCTCGAGCCTGATCTGGATACTGGAAGGCGCGCTGCACCTGCACCCCTGGTAAAAACCACTTTCAGATCGCTGGAAATAAAAAGCGAACTCAAGAAGCAGCTCCCTTGTTTCCAACAGATGCAGAACAAGAACAGCTCCCTCTCTAATCAGCTAGACGCCGATGGAGGAGGACGCTGTCATCATTTCCTGAGGCAGCAACACTTCCATGCCTTGCAGGTCCCACAGCGACTAGAAGAACCGCGCCAGTGCGGTTCGATAAGGAGGGTTCTGCGGGGAGGAAGTAGTGCGTGTCCGAGTGGCCAGCAGCTGCAGCAGCAGCGCGTTTAAATACATTGGGGCCCTTCGGGCTTTGCTTTCGCTTCTCTCTTCCTGTTTCAGCGCTTCACAATGAGGGGAAACGGGTCTTAAAGCGACAGCAGAGCTGCTGGTCTGTGAGTCGTGCAGAGGGTCGTGATGGTCGTGACTGACTAATGAGTCCATCTGCTGCAGGAGCTGAGCTGATAAAAACACCTGCTGGTAGTTTTATCTGCCCATCATGTCTTCCTTTGCTTTGTCTGTAATTAATGCAAGTAAAACATCTAAACTGTTCATGTCAAAGGCAAATAAAAATATATTCTTATGTTTTGTTCTAGAATATGTGGCCTGCTGTTTTGCAAATAAATGAATAAAGAAAATTTAGAATCATCTCAAATTGAGCTTGTGCTGCATTTTTGTGCCACATTCCTCAACATTAAACAGATGTGCTGAATTTCTGCTTTAAATAAGGAAATGTAATGTTCAAATTTAAATAATGTGCACACCTCGTACATTTACGCAGACGCTGTGAAGAGGAACATTACCCTTCAAAGATAATGTGTGAAATTTAAAGTTCTGATTTTTACATTTTTCTCTTCAGAAATTTGCCAGCAAAGCTTAACGAGTCTAGAATGACTATAGAACGTTCTAGAATGAAAAATATGATTTATTAAAAAAATATATATACTAATCTTTTACCCCTATAATAAAATGTATTTCTTGTCGTTTTTGGCACACTTTCCTTTTCAAACCAAAGCGCCAGTGGACATGTCTTATCTAGTGCCAGAGCTGCAGGGTAAAAGAGGGAGGGACACACACATCAGTTGGACTGTGAGGACAGATAAAGCGCTTTAGTTCCAGCAGTCAGAAACAGTGCATGAAGATCAGAAGCAAACTGTACACTGTAATAAATTGTAGGACAGAATAACTTAAAAACGAAAGTTCAACAGCTGCCTTAAAAACTTGAGTCATGTCAACTTAAATGAAAACTTTCAACTCTATATGTCAAGTTTTACAAATATCATAAATAATAACTTTGTTTGAATATTATATTATGAGTCGAAACAACAAATCTTATTAGATTACAAAGTGGAAAAATCATTTTGTCTTGTTAAACATACACACAATTCTACATTATGTTAACTTATAAACTTGAGTTAGACATGTATGGTTGTCCATTTAAATTAAAAGTTTTTATTAACTGAACAAATGGATTAATTGTTTGAACTTGTGTTATCAAAACGGCAGCTGTCATGCCAATACAGGCAATCGGTGAAGCAGTAGTTATGTGACGTTCACAAACTAATTGAATGTTTTGAACGGGTTTTCAAAGTGAACGATGAGAGCCAAGTCCCTGTAGAGAACCGTTCGTCTTGCCTTCTGGTAACAAACCTCCCCGGAAGTCGGTAAAGCGCACCCGTTCAAACCCCACCCACCGCAGTGACGGACGTAGGAGGGACCCTAACCAACCCCGTGCGCCCTCACGGACACCACAGGAACACGTTGCTCTTTTTAAATCTCTAAATTGCAGTTTTAAGTTGACTGAACGCATGAGAATGAGGAAAATATAAGCATTTGTTGAACAACAAGCAATTTTAAGTTTTCAATATTAAAACACACAAAATTGAGTTTAACAATTAAAACTTAACAGGGAGACTTAGGTGAAATAGGAAAAAGTAATTGAAATAACTTTTTGAGGCTGTCTTTTTTTACAGTGTAGATGTAGGTTAAATGCTTCCCTGAGCTGTTGGACTCACTGGACACACACCGAGCTGAAAAGGCCCAGGAGCAAGGTGAGGAGGCTGGCTCTGCAGCGTGCCAGCTATACACAGAAACCAGAACAGCTTTGCAGGGATAAAACTCAAACTGCAAATCCCTTAGAGGAAAAAACAATACAGTTTTATCTGCTGTCTTTGCAAAGCAGAGCCCTAAAACAGAAAACTGTCACATCTTAACCCATATGCTGCAGGGAATAACTAAAATAAGCTGACAGCAGAAAGGAGGAAGAAGAGACAGTTAACATGACACAAGTGATCAGCTTCCTGTGGAGATGACTTCTAAAAGCTGAGAGGATGTGCAGCTGACATGCAGAAATTATGTTTTTATTATTTTAAGGGGTGTAGGGTTGCACACTTCCTAACCCCATCATGCATGATGGTACATCACAGATAGACGGGCTGAGTCCAGATGCTGCTGTGAGATAGGCACGACATCGCTCATATAGCATGAGTGCAAAACTTCAGCTTGATGTATTTTATTGATGAGATTCTGTTCTGTGTGTAAAAGCTTAAACACCACCAGAAAGGATGTGAACCTTACAATATGTTAACTTTTACACCTTGATGAAAGGCTTTTCACACTCCATGAATAAGGGCTTGAGTTCTGGTGGGAAAGCAAATAGTTAAAAATGTGACCAGCTCTATAGGAAAAAGTGCCACTCTTGTCTAGCTTCCTGTTTTGTTTCGTACTGACAGCATTACGGGGTCAAGAGCAATGTGAAATCTGAGGGAAGCTATAATCGCCATCGCTGAGCAAACAGAATAACTCAATTATTAAGGTTATCGGCTTTATGAATTTTAAATGTAATAATAATCAAAGCCCAGTTAAAAAGAATCTTCTAAAATGATTTAAGGATTGGAGACATGTTATTAACTTTTTAGAGGCTAACTTGCAATAATTTAGCTTCATGTTGACTTTCTGTTTCTCTGAATCATTATCCCCAACCACTTCCTGTCCATCTAAAAGTGTTGCTGTGTCACACGCAATCCTGAATGCCAAAAGTTTGAAAAATGTTCACTTGTTCCCCAAAAGCCTGTGTTTAATCTTAGTCTGAACCTCAAAAGGCTGGTAGTGAAGGTCAGAGGTCAGACGAGGACCCAGCCTGGAATCTGCTCAATTGTTGCTGGAGTGAAATGCAGCAGCCTGCAGGAAATGAGTCGCTCGCTAAAGCAGAGCTTCTCTTGGCCTTGGGATCCTCCCATAATCAGTATTATCCTTAACCCACTGGAGGCAGGCGTTGCAGATTTGCAACGTTAAAACCTACCTACCTGGTTACTCCACATACGTATTTCATGAGCATTTTGTAACTCAGAAGTACCCCTGAAGGACTTAGTTGTTCATCCTTTTATCAAAACTTATTTTGAGCCTGAGAGGGTTAAAAGAAAACACTTGCAGTGGGATAGTGCAATCAAATAGCTGCATGACCATGTAAGTGGCTTCCTGCGTTTAGCAAAACAAAGGAGAGCAGATTGCACACGCTTTCAAATGAGCAGCCAGACCTACACTGTTGTTAAAATAAAATTTGAACTAAGTAAGATTGACTCAAACCTTCCTGATATTCCTGGGATGTTTGCAAATTAATAATACACAACATTCAGTATCAATGGCTTTATAATAATAATTATTATTATAATAATTATAATTATAATTATTATTATAACATGTATTTATTTTTATTTATTTATAACATGAATTTTATTATTAATTGGCACTATGATCTATGATGTTTGCACTGCAGGTCATGGTCTCTTTCTGTTTATGTTATTGTGAGTCTTTACTGCCACCTACTGGATTAAGTAGCAAACCATTATATATATATATATATATATATATATATATATATATATATATATATATATATATATGTCACTTTTCATGTCACTGATGAAGCCACCTAGCCTGGCAAGCCAGACTAAATAAATGTATTATTTAAACAAACTTTGCAAAGCAAGAATTTGGTCTAGTTCACTAGGCTAGGAGCCACCATCAGTGACATGAAAAGGCTGCAGCATGTTTTGCGCTCTGCTGAGAAGGTCAGTGGCTGCAAACGAAAACTCCTCTCCATGCAGCACTTGTACACCTCCAGGACATTGAGGTGGTCTCTTCGACTTGCTCCCATCTGGTAGGAGGTTACAATCCATTCGGACCAGAACCTCTCGCCGCAAATCTGTTTCTTCCCTTCCGGGACTCATGAATGACAATCGTAGACCTGCCCACTCCAGCAGCTTTGTTTCAGTCACATGACCAGTCAGTGTTTGCACCAGGTTTGCACCTGAACTGACCTGCTCTGACCAGTATCTACACTGACTTGTAAAGTAGCTGCTTTTCTAATTATTGATTTCCTACCTTATTATCATTTCATTGCGTTTATTTCTTAATTCTAATTTTGTTTTTCATTTATTTTTTTCTTGCACCAAGTACCGCAGCAATTTCCTAATGTTGTGATTCTCGCACATGTGGCAGTAAAAAGTAAAACCCATCTGATCCTGTTACAAACTGGAAACTTATGAATCCTGGACATACAAACTTCTCAAATTACCCCAATACTACACATGTTACACTTTTTACCTTGTGTCTATTTAACTAACTGTGTGGGTAGGGATAAATAAATTAGCATTTAAAGGGTTTTAAAAACCCTTAAATTCCTAAAACAATTTAATACAGCTTAAATGAATGTTTCAGCATCATATCAATGTTTTCACACTTAACCACGAATATTTCAAATACATCTATAAAGTTTACATTTAGTTTTACTCAGCACTTTTTTTACTAGTATAATGACAGGTTCACTTTGCAGCCCTGAGCTCCTGAAGATTGATTTAGTAGCGCGTTGAGTTTTTTAACAGTGTGGAAATGAAAAAAATGTATTTGCAGAAATAACGTAATTATATCTGAATGAATATTATTATTATTATTATTATTATTATTATTATTATTATTATTATTATTATTATTATTATTATTATTATATATATTTTTTTGTATATTTGTATGCTTTCACTGAAGTGCCAGAATCAATCCATGCTTCTAAGGCAGTTTCAGGGTTAGTTTATGGAAAGCGTCCTTCTGATGATGTGGGCACTTCCGAGAAGAACAATCTTCTGGATTTCTTGGACTGTTGGGTTTCCAGGAATCTGTTTTGTTCTCTTTTCCAGTCCCTTCTTGATGAGGCCAAGTGCACCCACTACGACGGGTATTGTTGTTGTCTTCATCCCCCACATTCTTGTGACTTCTATTTCCAGGTCCTTGTACTTTGATAGCTTTTCAAGCTCCTTGGTGGTGACATTTTTTTCAGATGGGATGGTCATATCAATCATGAGGCAGGTCTTCTCTTCTTTGTTTTTGATGACTATGTCTGGTCTGTTGGCCATGATTTCTCTGTCTGTGTTGATTGGCATGTCCCACAACACTGCGATGTTGTTGTTTTCAGTCACTGTTGGTGGTTGGTGTTCATACCACTTATCTGCAGCTGGTAGATGGAAATGTTTGCAAATCTTCCAGTGGATATACAGGTGCTGGCCAGTAAATTAGAATATCATCAAAAGGTTGAAAATATTTCAGTAATTCCATTCAAAACGTGAAACTTGTACATTATATTCATGCAATGCACACAGACCAATGTATTTCCGATGTTTATTACGTTTAATTTTGATATTTATAGGTGACAACCAATGAAAACATCAAATCTGGTATCTCAGAAAATTAGAATATTCTAAAGGCCAATGAAAAAATGTTTGTTTCTCTAATGTTGGCCAACTGAAAAGAATGAACATGAAAAGAATGTGCATGTATAGCACTCAATACTTAGTCGGGGCTCCTTTTGCCTCAATAACTGCAGTAATGCGGCGTGGCATGGACTCGATCAGTCTGTGGCACTGCTCAGGTGTTATGAGAGCCCAGGTTGCTCTGATAGTCGTCTTCAGCTCCTCTGCATTGTTGGGTCTAGCGTATTGCATCCTCCGCTTCACAATACCCCATAGATTTTCTATGGGGTTAAGGTCAGGCGAGTTTGCTGGCCAATCAAGGACAGGGATACCATGGTCCTTGAACCAGGTGCTGGTGGTTTTGGCACTGTGTGCAGGTGCCAAGTCCTGTTGAAAGGTGAAGTCTGCATCCCCATAAAGTTGGTCAGCAGCAGGAAGCATGAAGTGCTCTAAAACCTCCTGGTAGACGGCTGCATTGACCCTGGAACTCAGGAAACAGAGTGGGCCAACACCGGCAGATGACATGGCACCCCACACCATCACTGACGGTGGAAACTTTACACTGGACGTCATGCAACGTGGATTCTGTGCTTCTCCGCTCTTCCTCCAGACTCTGGGTCCTTGATTTCCAAAGGAAATGCAGAACTTGCTTTCATCAGAAAACATAACTTTGGACCACTCAGCATCAGTCCAGTCCTTTTTGTCCTTGGCCCAGGCGAGACGCTTCTTGCGCTGTTTCTTGTTCAAGAGTGGCTTGACACACGGAATGCGACACCTGAATCCCATGTCTTTCATGAGTCTCCTCGTGGTGGTTCTTGAAGCGCTGACTCCAGCTGCAGTCCACTCTTTGTGGATCTCCCCCACATTTTTGAATGGGTTTGTCGTCACAATTCTCTGCAGGGTGCGGTTATCCCTAGAGCTTGTACACTTTTTTCTACCACATTTTTTCCGTCCCTTCGCCTGTCTGTTAATGTGCTTGGACACAGAGCTCTGCGAACAGCCAGCTTCTTTAGCAATCACCTTTTGTGTCTTGCCCTCCTTGTGCAAGGTGTCAATGATTGTCTTTTGGACAGCTGTTAAGTCAGAAGTCTTCCCCATGATTGTGGGGCCTTCAAAACAAGACTGAGGGACCTTTTAAAGGCCTTTGCAGGTGTTTTGAGTAAATCAGCTGATTAGAGTGGCAGCAGGTGTCTTCTATATTCAGCCTTTTCAGAATATTCTAATTTTTTGAGATACCAAATTTGGAGTTTTCATTAGTTGTCACTTATGAATATCAAATTTAAATGTAATGAACATTGGAAATACATTGGTCTGTGTGCATTGCATGAATATAATGTACAAGTTTCACGTTTTGAATGGAATTACTGAAATATTTTCAACCTTTTGATGATATTCTAATTTACTGGCCAGCACCTGTAGCTTGCTGCCCTGTCGTGTCTGTGGATGTACTCAGTTCTGGCTAGAGTGGGGCAGCCTGAGACAATGTGGTCAATGGTTTCTTCATATTGGCTGCACATTCTACACATGGGGTCTGTTCCATCTTTAATGATCTTGTGGTGATATGATCTTGTTGACAGGCTCTGGTCTTGTGCTGCTATCAACAATCCTTCAGTTTCTGCCTTCAGTCCTGCACTGCGTAGCCACTGATGAGTATGATCTTGTTCTACATCAGCTTTTTTTACTCTCAAGGGGTATTGTCCATGCATTGGTTTTTCCTCCCATGTTTCTCTCATCCTTTTTTGTGCCCATTTCTTTGCCTCCCTTCTGGTCCTCTTGGCAAAGCTTGTCACTGTTTCTTTCTCTATTCTTGCCACCTCTGGGATGTTTAGTTCCTGTGCATATCTTATAGCTTCTTTTGTAACAGAGTACAGCTTCTTTCGAGCTTCATGTTGACAAACGAGGATCAGTAGGGCATCGTCTGTTGTTTCAAGGTAGGTTTTCAATGCCATTGTTGTTGTTTTGTAAGCCATCTCAAGTTGTGCAAGTCCTCTGCCTCCAATCTGTCTTGGTAGATACATTCTTTCAACATCCGCTTTTGGGTGGTGCATTCTTTCAGAAGTCAGCAATTTTCTGGTCTTGGTGTCTAGTTTCTTTACTTCTTTAAGTTGCCAGTTGATGATATTAAAACTGTATGTAACCGTTGGAACAGCTAAAATGTTGATGGCTTTGATCTTATTTGCAGCATTGAGTTCACTCTTGATAACAAGTCTAACTCTTCTGTAGTACTATTTTTTTACTTTTTCTTTCATGGTAGCATGTTGTATTCCATCTCCTTCATTAACCCCAAGATATTTGTATGTATCCTCTTGATTGAGCTCCATTATGACAGTCTCTTGGTCCAATTGTATGTTTGATGTTGATGTGAGTTTTCCTTTTTTGAATGTAGCCTTTGCACATTTGTCAAGTCCAAATTGCATGCAGATGTCATCACTGAAGAGCTTGACTATTTGCAGTAGTCCCTCTTGTTGGTTATCATTTTTGGCATAGGTCTTCAGATCATCCATGTGAAAAAGGTGGTTGATCTTCTTGCCTTGAACCTCATAGCCATGTTCACTGTTGTTTAGCATGGTGCTGAGTGGGGCTAGACATAGACAGAAAAGGAGAGGTAATAGTGAGTCTCCTTGAAAGATACCACACCTCACTTTTATTGGTCTTGTCTTGATGGATCTTTTGTCATAAGTGAGCATCATAGTGGTCCTCCATGATTCCATACTTGTCTTCATGAAGGTAATGAGAGTTGGTGAGATTCTATGAAGTTCCATTACTTTGATGATCCATGAGTGTGGTACTCTGTCGAAGGCTTTCCTGTAGTCTATCCATGCTGTACTCAGGTTTTTCTTCTTTCCCTTGCTGTCTTCCAGTACCATCTTGTTGATCAGGAGTTGGTCTTTGCTTCCATAACTACCTCTCTTACAGCCTTTTTGTTCTGGTGGTAGCATGTTGTTGTTGTCGAGGAAGGTGTATGTTCTCTCTGTGATAATACTTGTGAGAATCTTGTACATCGTTGGTAAGCATTTGATTGGTCTGTAATTCTTAGGGTTTTTTGTGTCATTGGTCTTGGGTAGCAGATATGTTAGACCCTGTGTTAGCCAGGTTGGGCTCTTTATTGGTGTTTTAATAATTTCTGTGTATTCTCTTGCAAGATCTTCATGTATGACTTCAAGATGTTTAAGCCAGAAGTTATGTACTTTGTCTTCTCCAGGTGACTTCCAATTATTTGCTTTCTTTAGTGCCAGTATTACTTCTGTCTTGCTGATGTTTGTCCACTCCTGTACTGGTCGTCTCTTCAATCTTCCTGCTTCTTCTTTGATCCATTGTGCTGTCTCATTGTGGTTTTTCTGTTTTTCCCAAACATTGCTCCATATTATTATTATTATTATTATTATTATTAGTAGTAGTAGTAGTAGTAGTATTATGTTGTTGTTGTTGTTGGTGATGGTGGTAGTGGTGGTGGTGGTGGTGTTTTCACTACAAGTCAATTTACAATAAATCCACAAATTTTAATAATCCTACTGACAATCACCTCAGACTTAGATATTTAAACTCATTAAATGTATTTTATATAAAAATAGTCTTGTGTTGCCATTCTGACTTGTTTCATGCGATGGTTTCATGACCTATGCAGCGTTTGAAGAAAGTACTGCTGTAAAATAATGTACACAAAACATCCTAATCAAAGCTAATGCTTGTGCAGATTTTTTGGGACGAGGTCGTAGACACGTTTGCCTGATCACAAATGTAAGCCGTTAAAGGTTTACATCCAATTAAATAACTTGTCTTGGTAAATAAGTTTTATATTTGTCTGTTAATTGAATGTAAATATCTTAGTAGTAAAATGATCTTTTTAAACGATTATCTGTTTCACGTTTTTAATCCGGCGCATTTGAAACAGCTAACAACGAACCTCCGCCTTTATAAAGAGTTTCTCAGCCTTTCGAACTGTCTCAGTTGTCGGTGAGGCCGGCCGGGCGGATCCCACACTAGAGTAAAAGAGAAAATAAAGCAACACAACAACAATTACAACTTGGCCTTTCTTTTTGTAAATTAAGTTAACAAGTTCCCCAGTGGATATATATCAGCAAGGTGGGTGAATAAGAAGTCGGAATGTCGAGAAAACGAGGCTCCGGGCCGGTTGGTGGTCAGCACGCTTCAGTTATTGCTATCAGACGAACAAGCTAACAGTGCGCCGCGATGCTAACTCTGCTAACGGCGGAGCGGCCATGGCTAGTTTACTAAGAAAATGCCGTGAACTGACTACACCGTAGAGGGATACAATCATGCGTTATCGTTAGTTACATCTTTATGACTCCTTCCAATCAAAATTATTATTTCTATACGACATGAGATTAAACTTTAAACGGTAGCTACGGATATTGGGTGATTGTCACGCTTGTGTTGGGAAACTACACACTCAAGTGTTAATGTTTATTTAGATTTAATTAACAGTAAAATAACCAGTATTCGTAGCTGTATGAGTAATGCTGCTTTTGCCACCAAAGTACTTTTTCGAACGCCCAGTTGATAACAATTTGCCTTTAAACCTGTGATTTTTTTAAAACAATTTTGCCTTATTACTGATTGATGTTGAAGTAAAAACATAAAACACATTCCCCTAAATTTAAAGAGACTTTTACATTGATGACTATTCAGGCGAAAATGAAACGGGTAGCACATTTTTTTATGGAGACTACAGTTCTAAGAGGCATCTGGTTGGTTTTTAAACCCGTGGCTGACATAAATGTAAAATGTGATCATGGCCTTTTGTAATTCTGTATATTGTACTCTTAGATATTAAGCCATGCCTATAATATTAATAAGATCTGTTGTCATGGATACCAAATGACTTATTTTCACTTTCTTTTTTAAGATGCCCTCAGCGATGAATGCAAATATGACAGTGCAATCTGCCAGTCCAGAAGTGGGATCCGCTCCCGGGTCAATGGGCGGTTTTGGACTTGGTGGACAGTCAGAAGTCCTCAAGCAAGTGCTGTGTGTCATTGACAAGAAAGTCCGCAACATGGAGAAGAAAAAGGTGAGGATGTTTTAAAGTCTTTGGTTCAAGCTTTCAGTCACAAGTGTGAAAATGTAAAACTCACTAAGTTTTTATGTTTTATTAAAGAGCAAACTGGATGATTATAAAGTCAGGAAGAATAAAGGAGAGGGTCTGAACCAGGACCAGCTGGTGGGTTACACAAAAGGTTTATCATTTGTTGAAGACTAATGTTGATTTATAACATGTTAACTAGCTGTTATTTCTCCTTTTTCTTTTTAGGAGGCCCTCTCCAAATACCAGGAAGTCATGAACAACCTGGAATTTGCCCGAGAGCTTCATAAGACATTTATTACTTTGGGGCAGGATGTAAGGATGATGTTTTTGTATTCTGAGCTGCATCCATCCCAACTCTTTTCCAATTTGACTAATTATACATTATGTTCAGATGCAGAAAGTAGGGAAGAAGTTTGCAAGGCGGGAGCAGCTGCAACGAGAAGAGTCAGAGCAGAAGAGGCTTAAGACTGTTCTGGAGTTGCAGTTTATCCTGGACCGGCTTGGTGAAGACGCTGTACGGCAGGACCTGAAGCAGGGAGTCGGTGGCACACCGCTGCTGACAGATGCAGACCTCGTAGCTTTTGATGAGTTCTACAAGTTGGTGGGACCAGAGCGGGATCAGAACGTGAGGTTAGTCAGGACTAACTGGAGATGCAGCATGTTATGGGCCTTTTTTATACTAAGCAAAGGAGTTCTGACTGCTCATTTGGCTCTTGCAGATTGATTGACCAGTATGAAGAAGCATCTGTGCACCTTTGGGACCTGCTGGAAGGGAAGGACAAACCTGTGGTTGGTACAACATGTAAGTCTGTTTCAAAATGTAGAAATCAGCTTCATCGGATTGTCTTGTTTTTCAGGTAAACAGTATTCAGTGTGTGGCTCACTCATCATTTGCAGAATGCTTTCATTTTTTCTTATCTTGCTCACATAGGCTCAGTGCCCGTCATCCATCAGACTGGGCCAGTCAGTTGTTACATGTGCCAGGGCAAATGGCTGCTGATAGATTATGACTGCATCTGCCTTTTAGGAAACAGCACGAATCAATTAGGCAAATAGAAGTTTTATTTTCTGTATTTATATTTAGTAAAATATTTCCTTTTTCTTCATCCTAAAGAGTAAAAAAAATTATATGTAACAATATAAGCTTTAGCTTTGCACAGTCAAACACTGACAAGTTACAGCTTTGGGTAATGGCAAACCAAATATGAACCAATATTAGTTATAGAAAGTAATAGAAAGTATTTGCTATATTTTCTGTGAAATCAAGCAGACGAGGGAGGAGGCAGTTTATTTTCAGTTCCTGTAACACTGCTGGTTCAATCTGGCAACAATGGTTTTATCTAAAACTGTAATTATTCCAGAAGGCTGGATTTGAACGGCCAGCTGGTGGTTCACATAGTTGGCAGGGCAGTTCATCAGATGGCTGGTGATGGCACGGCCACTGTCACCAAGCTTTTTATCACATTCAGGCTAATATGTCAGATATTTCTGAATGAGGTAGCGAGACGTGACAAAAGCAATCTTTTTTTTTTGTCAAGTAGTTCCTAGAGCAAATGACATGTCTTAATGTGTTAAAGTAAAAAAAACAAGTGTTTTGTTAGTGCTTCATCACCATGATGTGAGAATCAGGCCTTGCAGTAGTTTGGCCTCTGGCTTTCTGCTGCTTTAGCTTAAGAGTTGAGAGCTGCAGGCTTATGCTGACTCAGCAGCGGGCCAGCAGCCCTGTTGCCTGTGGTTCCACTGGTCAGATCTCCACTGCTACACCATGATACTGGCGAACCATTCCTACCTTTTGACTCAGTCGTGATGCATCACGGTGGTGATTACGAAGTTGACGTCTTTGCATGAAACATCACATATCAAAGTGTAAATTGTACCTTCACAGCTTTCTACAGATTGGATTTGGATTGGTTACAGATTCAACAAAGTTCTGATTTATTTTATGTTTGGTTTGATGTTTCAAATGATGCCTTTCCTCACCGAGCCTCCCGTCAGTTTCCTGTCGGGTGTTAGCTTTCATGGTTTGACTTTCCAGTAGTGCTGACCCTGTTAATCCTCTGATAGACAAGGCACTGAAAGAGACTTTGGACCAGGTTCTGCTGAGTGGGTACTTTGACCGGATTCCATCTCACCAAAATGGAGTGTGTGAGGAGGAAGAGGAGGAAGAGCCCACAGCGGCGGTGGTGGCAGCAGTAGCTGAGTCGTCGGAGGCAGAGGAGCAGACAGCTGATCCAGGTTCTGACCTTTCTCTGCTTCGTGCTGCATGACACTGCTATTGTGATCGTCATTAATGAAATGAACACAATCATCTCAAATTTTTTTCCTCAACAGAAACAGAAGTAATTGAAGAATTCACAGAGTCCATCACAGTGGAAACAACAGAAGTACGGTCATGAGAAGTCTCAGGTCTCTTTTAGATTTAGGCTTTTTACTCATCTTTATTTGTTCTTTTAGTTTGTAAACAGACAGTTCATTCCAGAGGACTCCTATGGCAACAGTGAAAAAGAGCAGGTGGATGAGTGGACCAGAGAAACAGAGGTAAACCACTCTTCTCTGTTTCATGTTCACATATGGATCAAAGCAGTAAGCCCTTTTTACAGGACACACCGTGCCGGCAAATCGGCGTAATATTACCGCAATGGTGTGTGTAATAAATGCACCATTGCAGGAATTTTGCGACATTCGTGCCGCCACACTTGGTAGTGATATTGCCACAATGCCGGACTTGGGAATGCATATTAAGCCGTGGTGCAACAGAGGGGAGGTGTTATGATTACATGCAGAGTTACTGCCGAGCTCTGGCCATCAACTATATTGAAAATGAACGTAAAGTTAACACGAGCTGTGAGTTTTGCTTTTGTAAACAGAATCTGCTGAGATGATAAACTGGAGCACTGCAGAGCTCCAGGAGCTTTTTCCTCCTTTAGAGCTGGTGGTCAGATCACCAGAGACTGCAGAGGGACTGTGGGGGACAGACACTTCGAAACAATTTGTTAAAAAAAAAACTTAATGAGCGCAGCTTCAATCACATTAAAGAGCAAGTTGTGTCCAAGATAAATGGAAGTCCACAGCAGCACAGAGATCGCCCCATACCCCCACCTCCATCTTTTGTAAAAGGACACAGTTGTGCACCATTACCGCTGCTGTCTGACCACTTATAAATGACCTAAGGGTCCCTGATGCTGCTTCTATGTTGAGGCAAATTGACTGCAGTGTTTTGTAAAAACGGCTGTAAAGTATTCCGATCATTGTCTTGTTTTATGTTTGAGTTTCAGAGTCAGAGAGCGTTACTGAGTTTTTACATCATGCTAAACACCATTCGCTTTTCAAGATCATATGAGTGTATGTTTATAATTTTCATGCCGGATGCTGCAGCTGTTTGCTCTTATTTAAAGAAAGATTATCAGATAAATGTAGACACATATTTAAGCTGTAATATTTTAATGCCACACTGAAATATGCTGGTAGGATTTATTATTCCTGCCTTTGTCTTTTTCAGGCTGTTAGTGCCTTGCAACAGCAACAACCCGCACACCCTGCAGCTTCCCCCGTTGCCATGGAGACTCGCAACATAAATGTAACGTCTTCTGTTCCGCCTACTGATCCCATGGTTCGAAAGCAAGTGGTGCAAGACTTAATGGCACAGTTGCAAGGAACGTGCAACTTCATGCAGGTGAGTTGTGATTGTTGGAGGATTTGGTGGCTGATTTGTGGCAGTGCTGATTGTTTCTGTTTTCAGGACTCAATGTTGGAGTTTGATGGAACGTCCATTGATCCAGCCATTGTATCTGCACAGCCCATGAAAGCTGCTCATGCCATGGATGTACCACAGATGGTTTGTCCCCCAGGTAGGTTTGACAAAGACAGATGCTCTTCTGTTTAAATTTGAGTCAGAAGTCCTTGGGAACGATGTTGAAATTGTTTTAGGTCACCCTGATCCTCGGCCGACACAACCCAACTCTGTTCCTGTACAACCTGAGCCCACACAAGTGAGTGTTTGAATATAAACTTAACAGAGGTGCTGCAGAAGTCACCATAAAACATTGATAATCTGTTTAAACTGTTTTCAGGTCCCCATCGTATCTCCAACACCATCCCCGATGTATCAAACCTCCCACTCGCCAGATCCTCGACCATCAACAGAGTCCGTCGACCCCATCCAGGTAAACTAGTCTGTCTGCTCATTAAATTTACTTTTTATTAGAAGAGATTCAGGACTTACTTTGGAGTTACCCATCAACTTTGCATCACATTTCTGACTGCTTAAAAGCTGTTCGGGAGTAGACTGCAGTTACATTTGGCTGTGGGCTTAGGCCAGTTCTTCTTTCTGGTGCATCACTATTTTAAAAATAGATTTTAAAGCCTCTAAAGTTTTTGACCATATTTGTTCCTGCAGTTTTTAGGTATTTTTAAGTTAAGAGCAGGACCTCTAAGGTCTTGTGTACCGCTCTTCCTCCTCGGTTTCCTTTGTGTGAGCTCTTAGTCAGCTGTGTGAACCCCCTGAACTTCTTCTGTCATTGAGACAAAGCTGGAGATATTTTTCCAGCAGAAAAATGCACCAATGTGATTTTTGGATACTGAGCAAGGCAATTCACATCTAGAATAGCACATACCATCTTTCTGTCTAAAACAAACCCAACAGCCTAACAGTGGCTCACAGCCAAGCCGATTACAGCCTCTCAGGCTCCCACAATGACAAACGGAAAGGTTCTGAGGTTCTCTGCAATTCTCATGTAGCTCAGCTGCAGCGGCTGAGACTTTCACCCCAACCCTAAATGCAATGTGTGTTGTGTCTCTCCTCTACAACAGACTTCCATGTCATTGTCGTCAGAACAGCCTCCCCCCTCCACAGCTCTCCCTCCCGCCTCTCAGACGCAGGTCTTCCAGCCTGTTCCCAAACCTCCTCACAGCAGTGGCATCAATGTCAATGCAGCTCCATTCCAGTCAATGCAAACAGTAAGGCTGTGACCATACTTCCTGTTTTTCAGTTAAAGTTAAACACGCTTTATGTTACAAAACAAAGCCTTTTTTAATGGAACCATTTCAAAATTCAGTGCCAACTCCAGTTTTACTTCATCTCTGTGGCTGCATTGGTCTGCATGACATTTTTCTATCACTTGCTGAGGCCTGTGAGGGCTCTTTAGTGATGGTCCATGTGCAGGCAAAGGATTGTGCCTCTAAGGCCTGTCTGCATCAAAGCTAGAGTGCATAAATGCTGCTTTCCTTTTGCTCTCTTCCCTTTTGCTGAAGTAGTCTCAACATTTGGACATTTTGTCGTTCAGCAAAATGCACCAAAAGGAGGAACACTCCTCCCTCATTTCAGAAGGATGTTCTTGTCCATACTGGAGTGAGATTAAATCCTTAGCTTATTCTGCAATTCTCAGCTGCTGCTTGGTTCTCTCTCTCTCTCTCTCTCTCTCTCTCTCTCTCTCTCTCTCTCTGTATATATATATCTCTGTCTCTCTCTCTCTCTGTATATATATATCTCTGTCTCTCTCTCTCTCTCTCTCTCTCTCTCTCTCTCGCTCATATATATCACATTGCATTTGTTTGGGTTGGTAGTAGAACAGCTACATGTAAAAAACGGAGGGACAAGCTACAACTGCACAACTCCAGCTAGTCCAAAACCCTGCTGCAAGATTTGTGACTGGGACCAGAAGGAGAGACCACATCACACCAGTGTTAGCTTCTCTGCACTGGCTCCCGGTGTTTAATCGGGCAAGATTTAAGATCCTCCTGCATGTGTTCAGGGTGCTGCAGGGCAGTACTCCCCCATATCTTGCTGAACTGTTGCAGTGGTGTGTCCCCAACCGAGTCCTTCACTCTGCTAAGCAGGAGTTGCTGGAAGTCCCCCGCTCTGAACTCAGATCAAGGGAGGACTAGACATTCTCAGTAATGGCCCCTACACCCTGGAATAAGCTCCCTCTGGCAGTTAAGCAAGCTTCTTCTCTACAGGAGTTTCAGTCTTGTCTGTAAACTCACTTTTATCTACTAGCTTTCCCCCAACATCGTTGACTCTGGCTTTTGTAGTTTTACCTTTTGTACTGTATGATTTTTAATTACTTTTACTTGTACTTTTTTTTTTGTCAATTTTATTTGATCTACAATGTTGTTTTTATCCTTGTTTTTATGTGCTGTTCAGCACCTTGGGCCTCCAGTAAGGTGGTGGTAGGTGCTATATAAATAAATAAACATGAAAACGACTTGACGACCAATGAGCTAGCGAGCTTTCCTCCAGTTTTGGCTTTACCACAATGTGACCATTGTTCGACCCTTAGGTGTTCAACCTTAATGCTCCAGTCCCTCCAGCTAATGAGACTGAAGCCCTAAACCAGGCCAGCCAGTACCAGAACAGCTACAATCAGGCCTTCAGCAGCCAGTCCCAGCATTCTGTGGAGCAGACCGAGATGCAGACAGAACAACTACAGTCTGGTGGGCAGATTTAAGTACTGATTATGTTTACCTGTGAGAGACGTATTACCAACAGGGGGCTAATTCTAATATTTTTTCCAGTAGTCAGTGCCTTTCATTCCCAAGAGCAGCCTGGAGGCCTCCAGCAGCCTGTCCAGCAGGGTCCAGGCTTCAGCAGGCAGCCTCAGTCCTTCTACAACAGCAGAGGCATGTCTCGTGGTGGACCCCGCAACACCAGGGGCATGATCAATGGCTACAGAGGCTCCTCCAATGGATTCAGAGGTGAGCTCCCACCTGCGTTCCACATTTGTTCCTAAGCCTGTTTTACGTTAGTACATTGACTGCTACTAGCACTGAATATGAGGGCTGAGCATTCTAAAGTTTTCTGATTGAAACTGATTTCAAACAGTGATCATGTGCTGAGGTTTTTTTTTTTTTTTTTTTTGCAGCTCCACTGACTGACCCAGGATCTGTTATGTTAGCAATTTTACACATCCTGGGTTTTCCAGTGTTAAAGGCTGTTGCCGCGAGCGCTGGTGGGGGTTGGGGCGGTGTTTGGGTTCTGCGATAAGGATTCATCGTAAAAACTAGGGATGTCCCGATCAGGTATTTTGCCCCCGAGTCTGGGTCATTTGATTTTGAGAATCTGCCGATACAGAGTCCCGATCCGATACTTTCTATACATGAAAAAAAAGAGGAAGAAACAGTTCCAGAATGTTCCTTATTTTTTATTTAATTACCTTTTTATTTTAATTTTTAACAACAGATCACTCCTGTGAGGTAGCTTGAACAATCAAGTAATAAATAACATAAATTAGGGCTGGGACTTGATTAAAAATTTTAATCTAATTAATTACAGGCTTTGTAATTAATCTCAATTAATCGCATTTTAATCGTTCAGGAAAATGTGCTCTCAAAGTAAAACTTTTAATTAAAATTATGAAACAGAGAATCAAACATTAGACATGGTTATTACTGTAAACTAAAGCTTTTAATAAAAAATGCTTTTTAATTATTCAAATGTCACTGTGTGATATGAAACAAAACCCAAATCAACTAAAATTTATATTACAAATATTAAACACCTGCAAAGGGTTCCTGAGCCTTTAAATAGTCTCTCTGTCTAGATGAATGACTGAAATAAATTTGACTTTGCACCAGATTCTAATTTTTCCAGTTTCACTTGTTTGTATAATTGGGAGTTTTTATTAGCATTTCTACTCATAATGTAGTAAAAACACATAAATAATAATCCTTCAAAATGACAGTAGAGCAGGCACAAATATGATCTAGGACTTGAATGTACTAACTTTTAACACCAGAGCAAGCATGGCATATTCTGAGAATGATCAGGAACACTAACTGGTTCCAGTTGGATGACTGGAGGTTGATGGGAAGATAAAAGATCATGGCGAGGAAATAATGATCTGACGAACAGGTGAGCGGACCTTCCTTACATGGGAAGTCCTGGAGGATGAAGGGGATGCTGCAGACCCGCAGATTCACACCTGCAGCAGCGAATCTGGTGTGATCTCCAGCCTGATCACAACTTTCTCGTTCCTCGCTGCCCCTGATGCACTTGAACATCCGCCCCTTAGCTGATAACAGCTTCAACACACCTCGCAGCTTAATGATAGTAATGCATGGGATGTTTAGACAGAGACTCGTCTCAGAAACATAATACCCCGACAGCATTGTTTAGAAAATCATCAGAAAAGTTTCAGAGTGTTTCTGTTTTAACTTAAACTTCTGTTTTCAATTTTAAGACACGTTGTTTGTGATTGTTTACATAGTAGTGAGAACACGGAGCATTCTCCCAGCGGCAGCCAGGTGCCTCTCGTTTGTCTGACTACTTTCATAAACTACTGTTAGGGCACAGAATTATTCTGTCTGGTGCTTTCAGCACTGCACAGATGTTACGTAAATGTTAAAAATATAGCTTACAATTCAATTCAATTCAAAAATACTTTATTAATCCCAGAGGGAAATTGATTACCGCAACTTTTGTAAAGTTTCCGGTGCCACCGGGCAGCCGCAGCAGAGACGATCTCTGAAAAATGTCTGCGACACGGACTCCGTTGCTGTCTGGAAGTTTTTTTTCCCAAGTTAAGAAAAGAGGCGGACGTGTTTCCTAAATCCTGCATCAGTCCAAGCAAGGCAACTTCTTTCTGTTTTTATTACGTTTTAGTAGCCATTAGCACTGTGCATTGTTGTGTGCGTCAGTGATATTCAGTCTACGAGGAAGTCGTGCAATGACAAAGGTTCCGCCGTGCTTGAAATGCAAGCTGCGATTAAATGCGTTAATTTTTTTAACGCGCTATTTTTTTCTAATTAATTAATCGTAATTAACGCGTTAAAGTCCCAGCCCAATTATAAATTCTTCACTTTTGAACTTTATTGCAAATATAAAAAGTCTAATATAAAAACAGATAGCACTTCAACTTCAAATACCTGGCAGGGGTCTATTTTGCCTCGGCCCCCAAAATGCTTAGATACGTCCCTGGGCATGGGAGGAGTTTTGTAGATGATTTGAATTGTATCAACGTACAGTCAGGTCCACAAATATTGGGACATCGACACAATGCTAACATTTTTGGCTCTATACACCACCACAATGGATATCAAATGAAACGAACAAGATGTGCTTTAACTGCAGACTGTCAGCTTTTATTTGAGGGTATTTACATCCAAACCAGGTGAACGGTGCAGGAATTACAACAGTTGCATATGTGCCTCCCACTTGTTAAGGGGCCAAAAGTAATGGGACAGAATAAGAACCATAAATCAAACTTATACATTTCAATACTTGGTTGCAAATCCTTTGCAGTCAATTACAGCTTGAAGTCTGGAACACATAGACATCACCGGATGTTGGGTTTCATCCCTGGTGATGCTCTGCCAGGCCTCTACTGCAACAGTCTTCAGTTCCTGCTTGTTCCTGGGGCATTTTCCCTTCAGTTTTGTCTTCAGCAAGTGAAATGCATGCTCAATCGAATTCAGGTCAGGTGACTGACTTGGCCATTGCAAAACAGTCCACTTCTTTCCCTTCAAAAACTCTTTGGTTGCTTTTGCATTATGCTTTGGGTCATTGTCCATCTGCACTGTGAAGCGCCATCCAGTGAGATCTGAGGCATTTGAGCAGATAATGTTGCCCGAAACCCTTCAGAATTCATCATGCTGCTTTTGTCAGCAGTCACATCATCAGTAAATACAAGAGAACCAGTTCCACTGACAGCCATACATGTCCACGCCATGACACTTCCCGCATGCTTCACTGATGAGGTGGTATGCTTAGGATCATGAACAGTTCCTTTCCATCTCCATACTCTTCTCTTCTCATCACTCTGGTACAAGTTGATCTTGGTCTCATCTGTCCATAGGATGTTGTTCCAGAACTGTGAAGGCTTCTTTAGATGTTGTTTGGCAAACTCTAATCTGGCCTTCCTGTTTTTGGGGCTCACCAATGGTTTACATCTTGTGGTGAACACTCTGCGTTCACACTGGTGGAGTCTTCTCTTGATTGTTGACTTTGACACAGACACACCTACCTCCTGGAGAGTGTTCTTGATCTGGCCAACTGTTGTGAAGGGAGTTTTCTTCACCAGGGAAAGGATTCTTCGGTCATCCACCACAGTTGTTTTCCGTGGTCTTCCGGGTCTTTTGGTGTTGCTGAGCTCACCGGTGCGTTCCTCTTTTTGAGAATGTTCCAAACTGTTGTTTTGGCCACGCCTAATGTTTTTGCTATCTCTCTGATAGGTTTCTTTTGTTTTTTCAGCCTAATGATGGCTTGCTTCACTGATAGTGACAGCTCTTTGATCTCATCTTGACAGTTGATAGCAACAGATTCCAAATGCAAATAGCACACTTGAAATGAACTCTGGACTTTTTATCTGCTCATTGTAATTGGGATAATGAGGGAATAACATACACCTGGCCATGGAACAGCTGAGAAGCCAATTGTCCCAATACTTTAGGTCCATAACAAGTGGGAGGCACATACGCAAACTGTTGTAATTCCTGCACCGTTCACCTGATTTGGATGTAAATACCCTCAAATACAAGCTGACAGTCTGCAGTTAAAGCACATCTTGTTCGTTTCATTTGATACCCATTGTGGTGGTGTATAGAGACAAAAATGTTAGCATTGTGTCCATGTCCCAATATTTATGGACCTGACTGTATATAAATACTACATGCTGATAAATGATTGCTTTATACAGGTACAAACTTGTAGTGGGATAAATCTACCTACATTTTATTTTTTTAAGAGCTTTGTTTTGTTTTCTTGGTTTTTCTTTTCCTATCTTCCTGTCCTGTCTGTCTCTGATCTTCCTGCATCTCCCAGTCCTCCAGAAAAACTCCTGCCTGCTTCCTTCTTTTTCACCTCACAAGTAACTTTTTAACTAGCTGATCAAATTGATCTATTGACCGCAAAAAAATCGGAGTGTGCGCCGCGCTGCCCGGCTGCACCAGTGACGAGCGCTGCAGCGCGTCCACACGTCATGCTCAAATACAGACAGAACTTACTAGAGAGAAAATGAACGGACACAAATTACTGTGTGTTAATTTTTGGTGATGCCACTTAGAAACTTAGAAAATGTTACTGTGGCCGTGTGCAGAACGCAGCTGGAGTTCATGAATAATCAGCGGTCTACCTGCTGTTCCCTGCATCTCTGCCCAAAAGAATCCCCGCTACTCTGAGTCCATATAAATAATATAATATAGGTAGAAACTGAATCTCTTTTGTGCTCCTTCTGGGTGTGTAAGTTAAGGGCATCAGGGGAGCCTGACAACCTTTAAGGAGAACCAAGTTGCTCTCCTGTAATTTGAACCCACTATCCAACTGCGGATCGAGGCTTGGATTGGGAAGTAACGCCCGAGTCCCGATCAGTCTGAAACCACATGATCGGGGCTGATTTCCGATCATGTGATTGGATCGGGACATCCCTAGTAATAACAATATGTGGATGTGGAAGTTCAACTTTTTTTGACAAGCCGCTCCTTAAGGTCTGTCCCCCACAGTCCTCGTGCAGTCTCTGGTGATCTGAGCTCCAGCTCTAACGGAGAGAAGCTCCTAAATTGCTGCTTTGCTCCAGTTTGCCATCTCAGCTGATTTTGTTCAATAAGAAAAACTTACGGCCCATTTTTACCTTCATTTTCAATATAGTTGCTGGCTGGAGCTTGGCAATAACTCCCCACGTCATTGTGACACCCCCCCCCCACCATTGTGCCAAGGTGCAGTCATCGTTTATTGGACAGACAATTACCACAATATTACTACC